GTCACTTTAGCATCTCAGACAGACTCAAACAAACGCAGGTATCCAACACACCTACCTACAGGCACCCATTTTACTTATTATGAGCCTTTTTGGAGCTGAAGTGGGATGATCGGGAGAGATAAGTACCAGGAGTCTTGGCCAGTGTCCTCTGTAGTTCAGCCAACCTCCTATGCTTGACAATAGAGGGTTGTCTGTGTGAGCAGAAGTGTGGACAGGCCATGTAAAGGATTACTTCTCATCTGCCCACTCCACACAGGATGGAATAGGGACAGCATTGAGTGAATAGCAGCTACTGCAGGTCTGCTATCAATCATAAAAAGGAGACTGGCCAACATGTGTGTGACACGTGTGTGTGAGTACTTTGCAAACAGCCCTTCAAACTGTAAACACTCCTTTACTCTTACCCCAGAGTTAACCACTTCCAAAATATTGACAAACTATTTCCTTAATCACATACTAAACCCTAAACATTTACCTAAATCCTCGATGTAACTCCTATTAAAAATTAAACACCATGTACCCAAATACTATATTTCCTCTCAACACCATACGTAATCTAACTGATATGAATTGCTCTCTAACCTTTACCACCCCCACCCCCTTTACCCTAAACATTTCTAACTTTGTCTTGAACCCTGCATTTACACAACTGCATATACTCACTAAGAGGAAAAATGGCAGGTGGTAAAATGCAGGTTCCCAGATCAATGCTGTTACTGTACGTTTTCCCTGAAAAATATATTTTGGGGGCTAAATCAGATTTTCAAATGAGTTTACTGAAATGACACCCAGCGACCTCCACAAACAATCCTCTACTTCTAATTCTGCACTGCACTGCATTTCAAGATAGATTAGGGAGGGTAGGTGACAGTCTGAACAGGGATTATGGAGGACCGGTATGTAGCACTCTGGATTGGGATTAGTACACACAACAAAAAAAGTGTTAAAATAATTTCATCTACACCAGAGATCTATAGTGTGGTGAAAAATACACTTATCTCAATGGATAGTGATGACAGCTTCCTTCAGGAATATCCCAAAATGTATTCCTTTATATACAATACAAGTACAACCGACAAAATGGAGCATGGAGCTGTAGATTTACAAAAATTTAAAATCGATGTACATAAAAGTGTGTTTTGTTATCCTCATTCAAAGAAAGGGTATGGTACGCTCATGACAGATAAAGTTATTCAAATTTTAAATCTATAACTTAGTGAACTGGTTCCATTTACATTATAAAAAACATATGATATCTATTCCAGCATTGAGACTCCCGGGTTCCAAAGTGCCAAGCTGATGTATCCAGAAGGTCTCTCACTGCAAATTTTTTGTCCCAATTTCCTCCTCTCCAGTGGGGCTTAATATGTTCAATACCAAAACAAAGCAATTTTTTACAGTTAAAGTGAGGGCATATGTTACAGTGCACGTGAACTGTATGGGTATTTATTCTTTTTCTTATATTGTTCTGGTGTTCAAGAATTCAAATTTTTAGCTTTCTTTTAATTCTACCGACATACTCTTTGCCACACAGACACTGCAGTAAATATGCCGAATAGTCCGTGTGGCAATCTATCGCCTCTTTTATCTGATATTTTTTTTTACCAGTTACTGTACCGATAAAATCCCTTTTAATTCCTAGTTTCTTACCAGTCATTTTTAAAAACCCACTGGAGAGGAGGAAACAGGGATGAAGATATGGCACAGTGAGACACCTTCTGGATACACCAGCTGGGCACTTTAGAACCCGAGGGTCTCAACGCTGAAACAGATATCATATATTTTTTATAATGTAAATGGAACCAGTCCACTAAGTTAAAAATCGAAAATTTGAATAACTTGATCTGACATGGGTGTATTATACCCTTTCTTTGGTTGAGGATAACAAAACACAATTTTATGTAAGTCGACTATTATGTATTATGTTTGATTTATTGTCATTATTTTGACTTTTATATTATTATTATTTTTATTTTATTTTTATATTCATTTTTATTTTCATTTATCTTTTATTTTTATTTCCATTTTCCATTTTTTATTATATATATTCATATACAGTGTAGTGTAGTGTTCCCAAATCGAAAGCAAATTCTGTACAATATTATTTAGGCTTGGAAAATGTCTTGGATACATCCCCCAATGGAATTTCTCTCCATTTAGACATAAGTGATATCTTATTTAATGCTTGATCATTATTAGGAAGAGATTAGGTCTTTTATATATTAGGAAATATAGAAGTCTGTATGGGGATTAGGGAGGATTTATAGCAGTCTGAATGGGGATTATGGAGGATATATAGCAGTCTGGATGGGTATTAGGGAGGATATATAGCAGTCTGGATGGGGATTATGGAGGAGATATAACAGTCTGGATGTGGATTATGGAGGATATATAGCAGTCTGAATGGGGATTATGGAGGATATATAGCAGTCTGGATGGGTATTAGGGAGGATATATAGCAGTCTGGATGTAGATTATGGAGGAGATATAACAGTCTGGATGTGGATTATGGAGGATATATAGCAGTCTGAATGGGGATTATGGAGGATATATAGCAGTCTGGATGGGTATTAGGGAGGATATATAGCAGTCTGGATGTAGATTATGGAGGAGATATAACAGTCTGGATGTGGATTATGGAGGATATATAGCAGTCTGAATGGGGATTATGGAGGATATATAGCAGTCTGGATGGGTATTAGGGAGGATATATAGCAGTCTGGATGTAGATTATGGAGGAGATATAACAGTCTGGATGTGGATTATGGAGGATATATAGCAGTCTGAATGGGGATTATGGAGGATATATAGCAGTCTGGATGTGGATTATGGAGGATATATAGCAGTCTGGATGGGTATTAGGGAGGATATATAGCAGTCTGGATGTGGATTATGGAGGATATATAGCAGTCTGGATGGGGATTATGGAGGATATATAGCAGTCTGGATGGGGATTATGGAGGATATATAGCAGTCTGGATGGGGATTATGGAGGATATATAGCAGTCTGGATGGGGATTAGGGAGGATATATAGCAGTCTGGATGGGGATTAGGGAGGATATATACCAGTCTGGATGGGGTTAGGAAGGATATATAGCAGTCTAGATAGGGATTATGGAGGAGATATAGCAGTCTAGATATGGATTATGGAGGAGATATAGCAGTCTTGATAGGGATTATGGTGGATATATAGCAGTCTGGATGGGGATTATGGAGGATATATAGCAGTCTGGATGTGGATTATGGAGGATATATAGCAGTCTGGATGGGGATTATGGAGGCTATATAGCAGTCTGGATGGAGATTAGGGAGGATATATAGCAGTCTGGATGGGGATTAGGGAGGATATATAGCAGTCTGGATGTGGATTATGGAGGATATATAGCAGTCTGGATTGGGATTATGGAGGATATATAGCAGTCTGGATGTGGATTATGGAGGATATATAGCAGTCTGGATGGGGATTATGGAGGCTATATAGCAGTCTGGATGGGGATTAGGGAGGATATATAGCAGTCTGGTTGGGTATTAGGGAGGATATATAGCAGTCTGGATGGGGATTAGGGAGGATATATAGCAGTCTGGATGTGGATTATGGAGGATATATAGCAGTCTGGATGGGGATTATGGAGGATATATAGCAGTCTGGATGGGGATTATGGAGGCTATATAGCAGTCTGGATGGGGATTAGGGAGGATATATAGCAGTCTAGATATGGATTATGGAGAAGATATAGCAGTCTGAATGGGGATTAGGGAGGATATATAGCAGTCTAGATATGGATTATGGAGGAGATATAGCAGTATAGATGGGGATTATGGTGGATATATAGCAGTCTGGATGGGGATTATGGAGGCTATATAGCAGTCTGGATGGGGATTAGGGAGGATATATAGCAGTCTGGATGGGGATTATGGAGGATATATAGCAGTCTGAATGGGGATTAGGGAGGATATATAGCAGTCTAGATATGGATTATGGAGGAGATATAGCAGTCTAGATAGGGATTATGGAGGATATATAGCAGTCTAGATAGGGATTATGGTGGATATATAGCAGTCTAGATGGGGATTAGGGAGGATATATAGCAGTCTGGATGTGGATTATGGGGGACATATAGCAGTCTGGATGGGGATTATGGAGGATATATAGCAGTCTGAATGGGGATTAAGGAGGATATATAGCAGTCTGGATGGGGATTAAGGAGGATATATAGCAGTCTAGATAGGGATTATGGAGGAAATATACCAGGCTAGATAGGGATTATGGAGGATATATAGCAGTCTAGATAGGGATTATGGAGGATATATAGCAGTGTGGATTGGGGTTATTAACACAAGTGAGAATTCAAAGCAAATTCCAAATTAAAGGTCAACATTCAAAAATTATTTCATTCACCTATTGTAACAGTTCAGCTAAATTGGCCTTAAATTAGAATTTCACTTTGAATTGATTTTAGTGAATATCCCTGGAAAGCATAATGTACACTTCCTGACAGTCTGTGGATGAATTAGGGAGCCTGCATAATGTACACTTCCTGACAGTCTGTGGATGAATTAGGGAGCCTGCATAATGTACACTTCCTGACAGTCTGTGGATGAATTAGGGAGCCTGCATAATGTACACGTGTATGTGAAAAAATATATACAAAGATTTGTGATGGCAGCTTTGTGAATGTGAACCTAACAAGCAATGCCCCAGCAGGTTACTGTGAGCCTGATACATACATAATTATCACTTCTACCTAATGACAAGATATCTCTGAAGTGCAGTGGTTGCAAAGCCTTCAGCGACATTTTGTGTAACAGATAGTCATTATTAATGTATAGAATGTTGCAAGCTTCCTCCTCTCCGGTCCCTCCCACAGATACAATCTGCCTAGAAAGAAAACCACAACAGAACAAGCTTGCAAACACAAAGTGGGCGGGCTTACTATGAGTGGCAGCTGAGCTGTCCAATGATCACACCCCTCAGGCTGGGCTGAGCAGGCTGGCTTTACAGGGCTCCAATGAGTAAAAAGGAGACAGACACAGTGTAACTGCTTGACCTGTCACTGTAACATTATGAGTGTTTTTTGCGGGTGATCAACACCGGGTAACCTGACAGAGCGACTACTGACAATTATATGGAAATTGTAAGTACAGGACAGTCACTGGACATTCTAATCACGTCTAGAATACAGCAGCTCTGACAAATACAGTGTTGCTCTAAATAACTCTGTTCCAAACCTATTGGCTCTAATAATGCTTTAATATGTCAACTTTATTGTTGGGTGAGCACTACTTACATTGCAGAAAGGGAAAACAATAACTTTAACCTTTTCAGTTCTAAAATAAGTTTTCTTGTAATTGTCCTATTTATAGTGAAATCCCCCCTCTCATATTATTGTAAAGCGCTACGGAATCTGTTGGCGCTATATAAATGGCAATAATAATAATAAATAATAATAAAGATGTAGGTGCTGGCACTGAAGGGGTTAAACCCTGTCTTATGTAAAGTGTTGGAGAGTCAGGTAAGGTACTGTCACATGACTCAGTGGTGTGTTTTATTAGTTTGGCTGCTTTGTGTGTGATGTCAATAGAGTTTAGTTTATCTTACAGTTTCTTATCACATTGTGCATGTTGGGCTATATGTTGTAATCATAATATCAATGCAGGGAAGGGCTGTGAAATGGGGTCGATCAACAATGTACCGTAGAAAAAAAGAGAAAAAGAAACGTATAGTCACTCAGCAGCTTCACAATAATATCTAATTATTAGATAAAAACAAAAAGAGTGTTTATTCACTAAACTAAGAATTAAAATGAGTTAAAATTTGCATTTCAAATATTTTAGAATAAAATAACTTTAGCTAGAGAAGAATTTTATATTTTTTCCATATTTACTATTTTTGCCTCAGTTTTTTCCATTCTGATTTTAATTTGCTATTATTCACAGTTTAGTGAAAATCCCTCAAACACTATTAACACTATTGCACAGGCCAAAATCCTGTTACAGTGGTTAATGGAAAAAAAGAAAATTGTTTACAAATCTATACAGAACAATATTCCAAAAGTACTGATTAACCAGGACATAAGATTATATCACAATTTTAGGTTTAGTAAAGTGGCTTCAACAGTGTCATTCTAACTGACGTCCGGATGAGTGTTTTCACTTTATCTAGGAAAGTTTCGGCTGTCACAAATTTAAAATTATTTTTTTGGGCCAAAATAGCCAAGGTGAGAACAGAGTTAACATGGAGGTATTTTTTTTTAATCTGTTTCAATTTCGACTAAATTTGAAATTCACTTAGAATTCACTTTGAATTGCCAAAACAAGAAAAAAAAAAAAAAACAATAAACATGCATATTTTATTATTCATACTATATTATTATTAATAACTGTAGCTGTAGCATTTGTACTTTTTTGTATGGAGTTCTTGTCTCTTTTCTGGTCTCTTTTGTCCTGTATACCAATTGTTGAAATCTAGGCAATTGTTTTAATGATTTTTACTTCCCTAGACCCAGCCAAATGTATACGCACACACACATATATGCATCATGATGCCTGCATTGAGTCATGTCGCCCATACACATATACATGGTGTGTATGAGAATGTATGGTGGTATGCAGATACATTAAAATAGAATAAAACATATATAAATTCTGGAATTGTCTGGAAAAGCCCCTAAATCCTTGCGTATTTTTAAATCAAATTAATTGGTTTTATGAGGGAAAATATATCGGCAAACCATCTGTTTAAATATTTTTTTTTATAAATGGACACACATTCACTCACTCTAAATTGTATTTATTTATTTTTAACCTTAGAGTGTTCCTTTAATGACTATAGTTCAGGCTAGCAAGGGAGTACCTAACCTAGATGTTCAAGGCTGGGAGGCTTGTTGTTTGTAAATATTGACCCGTATATAATTATTTGATCTTATGATTCAGTTATAATTAATTAAATCTTTCTTAATTGTTTGTGAAAGCTAAAGACAATAACCTTTCTCCAACGTGGAAGAAAGAAGATTTTGTCTAAGGCAAAGGAAAGGTTTTTTTACTGTAAGAATAATCAGGATGTGGAATTCTCTGCCTGAAGAAGTGGTTTTATCAGAGTCCATACAGATGTTCAAACAGCTACTAGATGCATACTTGCAAAAACAGAATATTCAAGGATATAATCTTTCAGTGTAGGGTAATAACTGCTTGATCCAAGGATAAATCTGACCGCAATTCTGGGGTCAAGAAGGAATATTTTTCCTAGCTTTTGCTAAATTGTGCTTCAAACTGTTTTTTTTTTTTGCCTTTTGGATCAACAGCAAAAAACAAATGTGAGGAAGGCTGAACTTGATGGATGCAAGTCTCTTTTCAGCTATGTAACTATGTAACTATATGTAACGTGGGCTGCTTTGTAAAATATCCTTTTTTCCACACATGATCTGTTTAAAAGAGATCTGTGGATGAGTCTTACAAGTATAAGCATTTTACAAAATTTCAATAAATAACAAAAACAAAGCAAGCAATAAGTCTGATTTTTTTTTTTTACCCATGGTAGAACTGCTGTGAATTCAAAGTTAATTTAAAATTTAAGGTCAAAATAGCCAAATTTAAAACAGAATTGACTTAGAGAATATTTTTGATTTGGCTGTTTCGGTCTAAACTTGAAATTGATTTTAAATTTCTGTCTACTCTCAATTCAGTTCAGTGAATAACTCTGAAGGCACAGATCTGGGGAAGGCTACAAAAAAAGATTTCAGTGTTAAGGATCCCAAAAGCACAGTGGTCTCCATAAGTCTTAGATGGAAGAAGTTTGGAACATCTAGGACTCTTCCTATAGCAGGTCACCTGGCCAAACTGAGCACCGGGATGTAGGGCCATAAGATAGGTAACCAGAAACCCAATTTTGACTCTAGGTGAGCTCCAGTGATCATGTGTGGATATGGGAGAAACTTGAGAAAGAACAGCCACTACTGCAACACTCCACCAAGCTGGCCTTTGTGGTAGACTGAATTTGAATATTATCTTCATTCAAAGAGTCGTATCTGGAAGAAACCAGGCACTGCTCATCACCTCACCAGCGCTATACCATCCCCAACGGTTGTAGAGTATAATCATTAAAATACAAGGGTAATAAGGAAAGGTGAAAGGAAAAAAACATGAAAGTGCCACTTTAATTCCATACCAAGTAAAAAAAACTGTATGTCCTCCTGCATATGGAATAAGTATTCAAAGAAAATCAGAGGTTGTATTCTCTGCGGTAAATCGACAAATGAACACTAAACGTCACTACACGCTGAGAATTCTTTTTTAAGCTCTATTTTTTTCTTTGAATTCAGTAATCCACCTACTACAACTTTCTATTTAGTGAATATGCCCCCATGTCACAATAGCTGTTTCCCAGGTACATTATTTTATATAAGACCATACAATCGTGATTTCTTGGTATAGTTAGTTGAGGTAGTTATGACAAGTTGTTTTTCTACATACTTAAAAACCTGTTTGTCCTAATCATTATTTATATTTTTATGATTTATTATTTACATAATTATATCCTGAGTTTCTGCAGTTGCTAGGTATAAGAAAAATGAATAATAAAAAAAACACTGTAATTGATCTACTATTCCCATCTGAAGAACAAAATGTCTTTCAGTTTTTTCTTCAACTTATATTTTGAACTTATAAAGCATCGATATAATTACTTTTTACCTCTGTGAGTGTCTGTGAAATATTATTATTTTTCTTATCAGTATAGATTATTGCAGGTATTTCCCATGTTATCAGCTTCTCAAGCTATATTTGCAATCTCTCCCCAGTCAGTTTGTAACATTTTACAATACCTGTACCTAGTACACAGAGGGGAGGGTTTGGGACTATGGGAGCAGGCATGAGTAGTGTAAAATGTTACAAACTGACTGGGAAAGAGATTGCAAAAATAGCTTGAGAAGCTGATAACATGGGAACAACCTGCGCTAATCTATAAAGTAATATTATTTGTGGATCCAGGACATACGTGAAAACGAGAGAAATCTCAATGTATCTTTCCTGGTAAAATATTTTATAAATAAATAAATAATATTGTACAGACATGCACAAGAGTTAGTACTATACAAAATCACACAGAAACATGTGTTCCTGACCCTATAGTGTTTAATCCACCATTTAGGTGGCTTGCCTGGGAGGGGGGGACAGTACAAGGCAATCCCTGGTGGTCCAAGTGGTGAGACTGAACTTTAGCAGCTCTGGCTACATTTCACTCTTGCGAGATTTGGAGCTTGCGAGAGGAGAACCTAGCAAAGCTGCATGTTAGAGCACCCCTGGGTCCTCTCTCCCTCCCCTGCCAGCTGCCTCCATTACAGTGCTAAAGGCTGGAGAGGGAGATCTCTGATCTCCCCTCCGGTTCTGCAGAACCGGCAGGGGAGAGCACAGTTCCTGTTGCTATAATCATATGATTATAGCACCGGGAAATATTTTGCGACGATTTATTGCCGGTCCGCAAAGCTTTCACCCGACTATACCGCTACACTGTGCGGACCTGCCCCTTCCTACCCATACTATCTTCACTATCATCGCTCAGCCAGTACATCTGGTCATGACAAAACATAGGCAGCAGTTGGATATCTAGATATATATTTCTTTAGTATTATTTGTGTTGTCAAGTAAGGAAATATTGACATTAAAAAAATTGCATATACCTTGTGCAGTTTCTAAAGATGGATCTTTCTAATACAGTGCAAATACCATTCTTCCTCTCCCTTCTCTGTGTTCTTACTTTAACGGTCCTCTCCCTATGGAAGGTTACAGGAGACAAACTGAAGATGCTCTGATGATACTTTGCCAGCCAAACAATTTAGTGCAGCTGTTCCAAGTGGACCTGAGGATAGTTGCTGAGACGTAACAGAGAGGGAACCAGAGAGGGTGGAATCAGACTCACAATGAAACATTCGTTTGTGGTAGTACATATAAACAAAAGCAGTCCATCGCCCATAAACAGTGATGGTGGGGACATAACATCAACAGATCCCTTTGTGTACATTTCCAAATGATGGAAAAGAACAACGATTTGGATGTGTTTTTAAATGCGTTCGATAAAGTAGTGGGGACAATACTTTAACCTACATTTTAAGGGGAAAGCCCTGAATGTATTGCTTTCCTTCCTACGGACACTGGACAGGACTATGAGGCCATAAAGTCTGCCTTGTTAGAAAGCTTTAATCTTTAATTACTGAAATCGACAGGAAAAGATATCAGAGCATTCAGTAATATATAGATCGGCTCAGGGCTGCTTTCCGGAAATGAACTAATGGCCCAAAAGTAACTACCTATATGGTACGGAAGGACTTAATGATAATGGGATAGTAGTGTTCGACAGTAGTGTTCTGAGGCCAGAGATTGAATATTGGATTTGAATGCAAAAAATGTTGTAGATCTGGTCAGTGATTACATTACATTAACAACGTCGTGTACAACTCTGCAATTTTCTGTGTGGAGGACCTCAAAGTCAGTAGGGGATGTTTGTCCTGTTCTACTTGGAGCAATGGTGTGATGTTGGTTTTCTGTGTTCACCAGCTTGGTCACCTTCTGAGTGCCACCTGCTCTAGGCACGCTATAGTGGTTATGGTGCTTATAAGGCTCTTTTCTAGATTGTCAGCACTTCGGCATATATGTTTACTGCATTGTATGCATTTTAAAATTAAACTCCAAACTGTTCTGAATTAAAAATTAAATTACAGCTAAAATAGCCAAGGTGTGGCCATGGGCATTATTAGGTGAAAGAAAGACTAATAGTAAATTGTATGGCTCCTCCCACATATAACTTAATCCCCACTTAGTTCCACAGTAAATTAGCACATAGTTTTACGGACCAGATACTGATCCTTTTAAAAGGTAATGAAAGCAGAACCATCACTTTCAGAGAAGTGAGTATTCTTCGCTCTCACCCCAGTAAACAGGGTTGCAGTGAATGCATGTGTATTTGTGAAAATGTTTTATAAATGGTACGGAAGGAATATAGAAATAGCATATACTTGTACACCCATCAGAATATTCTGTTTACCTAAAAAATACACTGGACAGGACTATGAGGCCATAAAGTCTGCCTTGTTAGAAAGCTTTAATCTTTAATTACTGAAATCGACAGGAAAAGATATCAGAGCATTCAGTAATATATAGATCGGCTCAGGGCTGCTTTCCGGAAATGAACTAATGGCCCAAAAGTAACTACCTATATGGTACGGAAGGACTTAATGATAATGGGATAGTAGTGTTCGACAGTAGTGTTCTGAGGCCAGAGATTGAATATTGGATTTGAATGCAAAAAATGTTGTAGATCTGGTCAGTGATTACATTACATTAACAACGTCGTGTACAACTCTGCAATTTTCTGTGTGGAGGACCTCAAAGTCAGTAGGGGATGTTTGTCCTGTTCTACTTGGAGCAATGGTGTGATGTTGGTTTTCTGTGTTCACCAGCTTGGTCACCTTCTGAGTGCCACCTGCTCTAGGCACGCTATAGTGGTTATGGTGCTTATAAGGCTCTTTTCTAGATTGTCAGCACTTCGGCATATATGTTTACTGCATTGTATGCATTTTTTTAATTAAAACATTGATTCCACTTTATCCATGGTTTCCGAGAAACCAATAAAGTTAAATGAATTATTCTGTAGGCATGTTTTATTGTAAGCTTTGGGAACAATTCTCCTGTAAATAACGCTTACTCATTCATCATTTCTAACAAGCATGACGACTTAATTCTCTGATCCTGTTGAAACAAATAATAATCAAACAGTTGGTGAAATCCTTGGAATTTACGGTGCATTTCTCTATCAATGTTTTTTTTATAGGAGTAATGTGATAGCAATGCGAGTGGCTTTTTGGCTCTGGAAAGAAGATGAAGCAGTTCCGTCTCGTTGAACCTGTGGTTGCCGTGTACTGTTTTGCAATATTTATATGCTTTCCACTAGGCCAACAATATATATATCACAGGCTATGGAATGAGGAGTTCAACTCCAGTGTTCCGTACAGTGACAATGTATCACAGTGTGAAACCAATCAAAGCAGCCCCAACTTTATTCATCAAAAGGTAAGGAACATATCAAAGTGAATTTCAATATTTTAGGTCAAAATAGCCAAATTGGAAAAATTCTATAATTGAGCTATGTTTTAATTTATGCTACTTTGTCATAAAATCTAAACTTCACCTTGAAATCACTTTAATTTCACAATTATTTAATTTACCAATTCACACTTCTGAATTAGTTCAGACACAGTACATATAGGTACCTGCAATCACCAGATAGTTATTAATAATGTATGGCTCAATGAAAGCTGCAAAAAACACATAGAGATCCAAACCACTGCAATACTAAAAGAACAAACGTTTTTATATATATATATAAATATACATACACAAACAATAAAAATAAAAACCTTAAATTTTTTTTAAATAAGTGAGTTTATTCACTAAACTCCAAACTGTTCTGAATTAAAAATTAAATTACAGCTAAAATAGCCAAGGTGTGGCCATGGGCATTATTAGGTGAAAGAAAGACTAATAGTAAATTGTATGGCTCCTCCCACATATAACTTAATCCCCACTTAGTTCCACAGTAAATTAGCACATGGTTTTACGGACCAGATACTGATCCTTTTAAAAGGTAATGAAAGCAGAACCATCACTTTCAGAGAAGTGAGTATTCTTCGCTCTCACCCCAGTAAACAGGGTTGCAGTGAATGCATGTGTATTTGTGAAAATGTTTTATAAATGGTACGGAAGGAATATAGAAATAGCATATACTTGTACACTCATCAGAATATTCTGTTTACCTAAAAAATAAACAGAAATATAGTGCAATACCATTTACAATATATGCCTTTCCCACATGCTCCCATTTGGATTAACTCACAAAGAAAGAGTGGCCGTGTGTCACTCAAACAGCTGAGCACCAGGAGGATCACGTCTTGGACATCACTGGATCCAAAGGAAACCGGAATGTATGTGAAAGGGATGTCCGTGTGTCTGTGAATATAGATACAGTGAGGGGGGAAAGTATTTGATCCCCTGCTGATTTTGAACGTTTGCCCACTGACAAAGAAATTATCAGTCTTTTTTTGTAGTTGGCCACCAGGTTTGCACACATCTCAGTAGGGATTTTGTCCCACTCCTCTTTGCAGATCCTCTCCAAGTCATAAGGGTTTAAAGGCTGACATTTTGCAACTCGAACGTTCAGCTCCCTCTATAGATTTTCTATGGGATTAAGGTCTGGAGACTGGCTAGGCCACTCCAGAACCTACTGTCCAGGACCTTGTTCTTGAGCCACTCCTTTGTTGCCTTGGCTGTGTGTTTTGGGTCATTGTTATGCTGGAATAGGCATCCATGACCCATTTTCAATGCCCTGGCTGAGGGAAGGAGGTTTTAACCCAAGATTTGATGGTACATAGCCCTGTCTATTGTCCCTTTTGATGCAGTGCAGTTGTCCTGTCCCCTTAGCAGAAAAACACCCCCAAAGTATAATGTTTCCACCTCCATATTTGACGGTTGGGATGGTGTTCTTGGGGTCCTATGCAGCATTCCTCCTCCTCCAAACATGTTGAGTTGATGATAAAAAGCTTGATTTTGGTCTCATCTGACCACAGCACCCAGTTCTCGTCTAAATCATTCAGATGTTCATTGGCAAACTTCAGACGGGTCTGTACATGTGCTTTCTTGAGCAGGGGGACCTTGCAATGCTGCAGGATTTCAGTCCTTCACAGCGTAGTGTGTTACCAATTGTTTTCTTGGTGACTATGTTCCCAGCTGCCTTAAGATCATTAAAAAGGTCCTCCCGTGTAGTTCTGGGCTGATTCCTCACCGTTCTCATGATCATTGTAACTCCACGAAGTCAGATCTTGCATGGAGCACTAGACTGTGGGAGACTGTTTTGTGTTTGTGTTTCTTCCATTTGTGAATAATCGCACCATCTGTTGTCACCTTCCCACCAAGCTGCTTGGCGATGGTCTTGTAGCCAATTCCAGCCTTGTGTAGGTCTACAATCTTGTCCCTGACATCCTTGGACAGCTCTTTGGTCTTGGTGGAGAGTTTGGAATCTGATTGATTGATTGCTTCTGTGGACAGGTGTCTTATACAGGTAACAAGCTGAGATTAGGAGTGTTTCTAATCTCAGCTCGTTACCTGTTTACAAGACACCTGGGAGCCAGAAATCTTGCTAATTGATAGGGGATCAAATACTGATTTTACTCATTGACATGCGGTTTTCTGGATTTTTTTTTCCCGTTATTCTGTCTCTCACTGTTAAAATACACCTACCATAAAAATAATAGACTGATCATTTCTTTGTCAGTGGACAAACGTTCAAAATTAGCAGGGATCAAATACTTTTCCCCCCTCACTGTATGCATTTGACCTACATGCCTGTATTTTTGTAAGAATACAGGATTGCCTTTGTTAGGCATGTCATTGTGTGTGTGAATGCAGAGGTGCATTTTGTGAGGATGTGCATGAATGTTTGTATTTATATTCCTTATTAATATTATAGGTTACAGAGCCTTTTCTCTTCATATCCTCTCATCCCCACCATTTGTTTCTCCCCTCCACTTATCTCTGTTAATTTCCCGTACCCCACTACTCTACTTTGCCACCAAGTAAAACCACAAATTTCAGTGTGTGGAGGGGACATCCTATGCGTGTCTCTATACACAGAACTCTGAGCTAGTTGAGTTCCCTTTAAAAGAGATGCCAATTGCTCGGTCGACCTCATGAATTAAATAAAACTGTTTTGAGCTGGTTTTGGATATCTGCTGATCTCTCCAACTGACCCATTACTGCAGAATAGTGGGCGGACTTCTCACTTTACCTGGTCCTTTGTCCATGACCAAAGTGCCTGAATGGTGGTCAGTCCATCCCTAATTATGACTACACAATGCTGGAACTTTAGTAATCAGTTAGTTGGATGGAACACAGAACATAGGAACACCAAATGCTTCTTCCAGCCGGACTTACCCCCAAGTATGGTTTTTGAGTGCTCAGTATGGGACTCACAGCGGGCTCGATATAGGCAGGTAATAATTATAGCAGGCTGCATTCTGCGTGCCACACTCCTCAGCATTATGATATAAATGAAGGTCTGGCACGGCTCACTATTGCAGAGTACCGGAACTTCATTGATGACAAACAGGAGACTCAGGGCTACTAAAATAAAACATCAAAATTTCGATCAAGGCTTTTCAAGAGCACATTGGGGACTCTAGCCCCTTCAGCCTTCCCAATGTCCCTGGTTGTGGCTAAAGCTGAGCTGGAGATTTTTTTCCAAATCAGCTATTTTAGTCTACATTTTCAAATTTATATTTAATTTGGTACCATTCAGAGTTTAGTGACTTATCCTTAATTTCATATATGTGAATATTTTTTTTTAAGATAGACAGCACGAATATTTTTTACATTTTATTTTAGTTTATTTGTAACTATTTATGGAAAAAAAACAAAAAAAGTTGCTTTGTGCTGTATCTTATAGTCTGTAGTGCCTTGTGGTTATCAGATGGAAATATGGTGAAGAAATTCTAGCTGTGATGTACTGATAAATGTGTTTACACTACCATAACTCTAGTGAGTGGGTATGTGTGAGAGGGAAATGGGGGAGGTGGAGTGACAGAGCATTTCTTCTCACTTCCTCTGTATTGAAGTCCAGCTGTTGCAGTGCAGATAGTTGTAGGAACGATATGTAACATTCATGGTAATTACATGTCTAGTTTTACAGTTCTTGTGTATACATTGGTATCATGCTAGAGCAAAAGTTTTTTGACTAATATTACCACCCGAAAAAAAACCATATGAATATCTTAAAATAAAAAAACATTAAATTGAATGCTAATAAACAATAGAAATGACTTGTGTTGAACAACAATGTTAAAGGGGCATTCTACGCTCCAAAACAAGTTTACTGCAATGAAGTAGTTTTGGTGTATAGATCATGCTCCTGCAGTCTCACTGCTCAATTCTCTGTCATTCAAGAGTTAAATCGTTTTTTGGTTCTGTTTATGCAGCCCTAGTCACACCTCCCCTGGCTGTGACTCACACAGCCTCTATGAAAAAATTGTCTAATTTTTAAAGTACATGTAAAAGTAAAATACAGCACATTTATGCATGACGAGTTATTATCTCCTGCTCTGTTAATGGAAATTTAATCACACAGAGGAGGCTGCTGCAAGCTCTAGCGGAAAATTGACAGAGCAGGAGATATGAAATGCTAAATTAAACACACTGAGCGACAAGGCAAGCTAAAACATTTAGACTTTTTCAGGAAGTGTGGAGGGAGACAGTGTGAGTCACATGCAGGGGAGGTGTGGTTATGGCTACATAAACAAAGCAATTTGCCTCCTAACTGGCAGTGATTTGAGTAGGGGCAGGGGCATGACCTGTACACGGAAACCACTTAATGCAGCTAAAGTTGTTTTGGTGCTTTAGTATGTCCCTTTAAAGCCATCACTCGACAGCAAAGTTTTTTCATCATAACTTCTCTAGCACTACAAACAGCATATAGATGTTTTATAATCCCGTGGGCCAACCATTTGTTTAACTGCTCATGTGTAGAGATGTCACGAACCGTCCGCGAATTCTCGCGAACGGTTCACCACGAACCGTTCGTGGTGAACTCCGGTCAGCTGACACATCCCGGCCAATCTCCAGCAGACCCTCCCTCCCAGACCCTCCTACTTATTGGACAGCATCCATTCGCGACATCTCTACTCCTGTGTTAGTAGACTTGAAATTTTGCCCTGATGAGAAAACAATCAACAATGAGGGACAGTGTTCCCAATATGTTTTTATTAATCTACCCTGTCTTGAAACTGACCAGCATTTTGTTGGCAATTTGCAGAAGTTAAATTTTTAGCCATTTATATCAGAATGCATATGTAAAATAAAGTATTTAAAACTTAAGATAATTTTCTCTTTATTTTCAGGAAGTTCAGAAACAAGCATCATTTTTTTCTACCAAGTTGGATTTAAGTGCTCTTATACCAAGCCTTGTGATGTCTTTAATCCTTGTATCGTATGGAGATCGACATGGACGCAAAGCATCCCTACTTTTGCCCTCAATCGGTGGCTTATTGTCTGTAGGAGTTTATTTTTCTGCCTCCTTCTTTTCTCTGCCCTTAGAAATATTATACGCGTCCACTGTCATCAGTGGACTCCTTGGAAGCTTCGCAACATTCATTGGGGGGTGTTTTTCTTATGTAGCAGATATAGCTAAAGATGTTCAGAGCAAAAACATACGGATCGCTTTTCTAGATATGGTCCTAGGCGTTTCAAGTGGCATCGCAGGAATTGCATCTGGATATTTTATGAGAGAATTTGGTTTTAAAGTGTCATTTGCCATCCCAGCGTTACTTCACATAATTAACATTTTTTATATTGTTTTTTTACTGGAGGAAACTGTTAAAAAAGCAGAATTTCAACAACATGTTTTCAGCAAAGAAGGATTTAAGGAACTCTTTTCCGGAGTGTACTATATGTTTAAACATACATCTTGCAAGAATCGGGTTGTTATAAGTCTCTTGCTGTTTGCGTTCATGTTCTACTTATTTGCAAATATTGGACCAAGTTCCCTATTTACACTGTATGAGCTGGACTCGCCTCTATGTTGGAATTCTGTTCTCATCGGATGGGGATCAGCCTTCTCCACATTTTGCTTTGTGGCAAGTTTTTTGGGAGTTTACTTCTTTTCCCGATGTCTTCAAGATGCATATATTGTCTTTATTGGAATGATCTCCTGGATAACAGGAGTAATCTTGGCTGCGTTTGCGCATACCACTGTCTTTATGATGCTAGGTAAGGTACAGCAAAAGACCAGATTTTACTTTGATTTAACTATTTTGTTATGTATTATTAAAAAAGGAGGGTCTATTGAAGGAAAGTCTACCAAATGATGTTGCATTACCTAGTTTACCGACCTGAACAGTTGTTGAGACTGGATGCTGAGCTTTACCGCTGAGCTCAGATATAGAGCTTCAAGCTCTCCGGTTGATTTAGGGGAGCCCAGTGGACCCCAGGTATGATGTTAAACCATTCTAAAACATTTTTCTTGTGCACTATCCCAAATCCCTTGGCACATTTAAATAACTGGAGGGTTTTGGTATCCATCCTGTGGACACATGAGTGTAAGCTCACCTGCCACGCCAAGCTCTGTTATAAGCTCTCTATAAAGACAGAATAGAGAGAGAAACATACATGTTAGTTATGCATCGTGTGCTCTGGCTATACCCCTATAGTGGTTATTAGATTAAAGGGATATGCTGGACCCCTAAAGCACTTTATCTTCGTGAAATGCTTTATGTGAGAAGAGTGTGCCCTCTTTTTTTTTTTTTTTTCATTTTTTTTTTTTCTAAAGAAAATGGCACTTTTTAAAATTAACATTGTTACATTATTACAACTTTGGTGAAATGGCAGTTTTGTGTGAAAAGAGCAAAAAAAAAAAAAAAAATATGAACACAAACTTTGGCAACGGTTTGTGACTAAGTGGCTCCAAAACAAAAACTGGATATACCCCATGTTGAATACCCTGGGTTGTCTACTTTTGCAAATGGCATGCCAAGATGGGGTTCATTTTCATGGTCTTAAAGGCAACGTAGGCCCAGCAAATCAATTTTGGCAAATTTTAATGTGTAAAAACTAAAAAGGGAAAAGTCCTGTATTTGACCCTGCAACTTTCAAATACCCCATAAAACCTGTACATGGATGGGTACTGTTTTACTTGTTAGACATCGCTAAACACAAATATGGGTATTTTATTGCAGGAAATGCTAACAGTATTATGACATACACAGTTAAAATGCCATGCAGAACTTGTCAAAGAGCTTGGGAAATAACAAAATGACTTAAATTCTCACACCTTTTTAGATTGTATTCATATTAAATTGTTTCATATATAAATATTTGGTGTGAAATGAAAGTCTGATTTTCTTCTGAAGAAAATAATATATGATTAGTGTGGGTGCACTTAATATAAGAGAGGTAAATTATGGTTGAACAGACATATTGTTAAAATTTTAGATTTTGTTTTGTTCATAACATATACAATTGCCTCTGTCCTTAATGGGTTAACTAATTTGTCCTGTAAATATTTAAATATATGTATGGCTCATAAATAAAAAGTATTTCTGAGTCAAAGTTCTAAAAGTGAAGCAATTAGCAGAAACATTCCATTAGTTTCCATGGCGATTGCTCATATTTAAACCTTTGTCATAGTATTCCTCTTTACATATGACCCCACTTGTATCTGATTACTACTCTTTCAATATATAACATTATACAGTATAGAACTTAATTATCTGATATGTATAAGTCAGATAACATCAGGCAGTGTAGTGTTAAATTGCCAACTGACTTGATTCTGTTAATTATTTCTAAGTTGGTTCATTTAACTGAACTTTATACTTAAAGGCTTTTGCTTATCACATCTCGTATCACAAATACATTATCTTTCTTGATCTCATGTGTTTTTTATAGTGTGTAGAGGACAAGTTGATTCTAGGAGAGATTAAATTATAGGAGACAGATATTTTGGATGAATGTTAAAGGACCACTATAGTGCCAGGAAAACATACTCGTTTTCCTGACACTATAGTGCCCTGAGGGTGCCCCCACCCTCAGGGACCCCCTCCCGCCGGGCTGGATGGCAAGGAAAGGGGTTAAACTTACCTTTTTTCCAGCGCCGCGCGGGGAGCTCTCTTCCTCCTCTCCACCTCCGATCCTCCTTTTCACAGTGAGAAGCGCGGAAGCTGGATTAACCCTAACATAAACATAGCAGTTTCTCTGAAACTGCTATGTTTTTAGAAAAAAGGGTTAACCCTAGATGGACCAGGCACCCAGACCACCTCATTAAGCTGAAGTGGTCTGGGTGCCTATAGTGGTTCTTTAAATGTTTGAGGATTTGATAGATTACACGTGAATAGTTTTGTCATTGATACATTAACATTAGATATTTCTGGAGTTGATAGCATTGCAATGGACACTTGGGAATAAATAGATCAGCAATTGATGCAGCAGTGGCTACATTGAGAATGAGAATAATTGGGCATACTTTAGACATTGAGAATGTATCACTGGATAAGATAATTAACAGGGGATGCTTTTTAAAATGATTTGGTTTAGTTTTAGGTATACTGCCCTAAGCATTAGCCATACAGCCTAGAAATATTTTAGTCTACAAAGAGAAGAATTCTAGAAAAATGGTTATTCCAGAATATTTAGGTCTAGAATAGAAAGTATTTTGAATTTAGGTGGTGTTAGTTTTTTTCTTAACATTTTTTCAAATACCGATATCCGAGGTCTGTCTAGAAAAAGTGCAGACATTGTTAATATAATGAGAACGGTTTGTGTGACATCGATGTAGCCTGGCAGCCAAGGAGAGTGGATTGATTCACACATGTGCGAACAATGACAACTTCACTACCCTAGTCAGTAGACGCCATTGGCTGAGGCTCCATTGTCCTATATAGAATGTTTCTTGTTTCGTTTATCTTTTTTAATAAATATCTCAGTTTTTCATATTACATGGCTGGATACTTTCGGGACAGATCTTGCATTCCTACCTCTCACCAAGGAGCAGCATTGCATAACAAAATATTTCAGTGGTTTTCAGATGGACATTTGCATCTCTACAAGTCAACCGGTTACCTTAGGTCATTTCTATCTTAAATTTCCTGTTCACTAACCGTTACATTTCCTGCAATTTCAGCAGATGTATAGATTAAATATTAGTTGAACCAGAAAACTGCTTTTGCGTCCCCCCCTCACTCCTCCTCATGTGACTCAAACAATCATTTTCTATTTTAACACCAAGATAAACGGTATGTTTAGGTGAAAGTGGGATTTATGTCTTTATTCTCAAACTGTTACATTATTGTAATGACCAGTCGTGGCTACTTGGAAACTCTGTGTACATGTCTAGCTATGTACCAGGTCAAAGCATAACATTAATTATAATAAACCAGTTACAAGTTTGCCCTACAACAAGCCAAAGCCACTATGACATGTTGTAATGCTGTTACAAAAAGAACAATGTTTTACTCACAACTAACATCTTTAATCCAATTGTTTTAAGGTTTTGTTAAAGACAAGTTATATATGGAATTAAAATCTAAATTCATTCCTTACTAGTTTCCCTTCTTGTCCTTCCTGCCGTTTCATTGTGATAAATGTATGGTTGATATAACATGCTATCTTTCAATGCGTTTCATTTTATTTATACAAGTAACTGATTTTATTTTTCAGTGAGAATCCCGCTACTTTTTGCCGCTATGCCTCTACCAGTGCTAAGGTCTATGATGTCTAAAGTGGTTTCTGAAAGTCAACAAGGTGTGTTGAATTGTTAGTTTTGCAGAATTTCAAATATGAATCTGGTCAATGGTACACTTACTCAGCAGTGCGGAAGAATATATACAATGCATTATTACAATGTATTGATTAAAAATAGTGATCTTGCGTCTGCAAGAGCTCTATAAAGTAACAATTCATTAAATATTATAGATGTAAGATATGTCTTTAAATGGTGATGCATTTTTAATTTTGAAATTTAGCTAAACGCCTGCCTCTTCCTTCTTGGTGTTCGGGTCAAATCCCCACGTGTCAGCACCTCACTTTGTTTTATCATGTTAATAGTAAATTCAGTGTCACAACATTGGTTTAAATTGAATTAGGTTTCCAAATGCTTTAATACAGCTTTTACTCTCTCACACCCCCCAATATTTTCAAGAGATCCATTCATCCACGTCTCATCCATCCAATTACACTGGTGGTGTGCAGACCCACCAACAATAGATAACTGGATACGGAGAGTTAAACCAGTCCGAAAAATGGAAGAAGTATTAACCTCCAAATCCACGAAACGCCAGAGACAAACTGAAATTTGGCGCTTCTGGACAAACCACTTAAAGTGACCCTATAGTCAACTGAACAACTTTAGCTTAATGAAGCAGTTTTGGTGTATAGAACATGCCCCTGCAGCCTCACTGCTCAATCCTCTGCCATTTAGGAGTTAAATCCCTTTGTTTATGAACCCTAGTCACACCTCCCTGCATGTGACTTGCACAGCCTTCCATAAACACTTCCTGTAAAGAGAGCCCTATTTAGGCTTTCTTTATTGCATGTTCTCTTTAATTAAGATTTTCTTATCCCCTGCTACGTTAATAGCTTGCTAGACCCTCCTGTATGTGATTAAAGTTCAATTTAGAGATTGAGATACAATTATTTAAGGTAAATTACATCTGTTTGAAAGTAAAACCAGTTTTTTTTTTTTTCATGCAGGCTCTGTCAATCATAGCCAGGGGAGGTGTGGCTAGGGCTGCATAAACAGACAAAGTGATTTAACTCCTAAATGGCAGTGAATTGAGCAGTGAATTTGCATGGGAATGCTCTATACACTAAAACTGCTTTATTTAGCTAAAGTAATTTAGGTGACTATAGTGTTCCTTTAAGCTCTAAAGGCAACACATGGCTAACACCACCCTCCCGGGATTGTCTGACATGAGTCTACCTAGTGTTCTGAAATACCTAACAATAAATGGTACAACTGGAGACGGGAGCAAAATTAAAAGCTCAGCCCTCTACCTACAGTTGTCTTAATATGGTCCTTAAACCAATATTTCTTTATAGCAGTGTGGAAGAAGAGTACTCTTATTGTTCCTTGCAGAAACATTGGCTGTGTAAGCAAAGTAGGACAATCCTGACAATGAATTTATAAAGAATAAAGACATTTCTTAGGAAATATTTTACAGTTGACACAAGCAGAAACTGCTGATTGTCACTTCCTCATTAAATTGGTGACAGGTGTTTATCAAAATAATTACTTCCTTATTGATGGTTTCTTTTATAAATCAATAGAAGCAGTACTCCATGATGAACAAACTCACAGGTTTTTTTTTTAGAAGGAACCTTCCTAGTCTTCTGTTTTACAAATGCACCGTTTACACACAGATGGGTGGGAGCTCTAAATCTGTGCATTTAATAGTTCTAAAAGTACTTTGTTAACTATGCATGTGGATAACACCATGTTTTCTAGATAGATATCTTACGTGAAGATCTTCCTATCATTCACCGCCAATTAATAATACCCACACTTTGTAAGAGTAGGTATGATATTTTGGCTTATCAGCTCAGACCAGAATGACTGCCCAACATAGCCAGGTTGGTCTACAACCATTTGTAAATGGTTTTGTAAATGTCAGGGGACTCTTTGAAGCATAACCACTACACTGTTCTGTAGTGGGCATAGTGCTTAGAGTATCTCTTTAAAGGAACACTGAATCCTTAGGAATACAAACCCATTTTCCTACCACTTTAGTGTCCCTGTACCTATACAGAGACCTCCTAACCCCCACTTGGGCAAAAAAAAAATAAAAAAAAAATTAAATATAAAATAAAGATTTTTACTCACCTTTTTCCAGTTCTGAGACTCCCTTAGAGCTGCTTACCTCTCTGCCTCCCACTACGTCTTGAAGGTGGCTTGGCCTCCTCCACAATGGTCCAATCTAATGCTTCTCATAGAGGACCTCTTGTGCGTTTAAGCTTCTCCAAAGGAAAGCATTGAATCAATGTTTTCCTGTGCTGGCTACCACATCCCTTGGTTAGTGCCACAGAAGCTTCATTTAGTGGCTGTCAGTATGACATTATGGCACCCCAGCAACCATGGGGTACCCCTTGAAGATACCTATGAAAAGCAATAAGTTTAAAATATTCTCAGGTATATTAGGTATGTTTTGGTCAGGGTTTTGGGAAATAAGAGGAATGGAAATTCAATATAGAAACAGAATCCTGCTGCAACCTGCAAATATACCTCCATTGTTATAATAAGATCCTACCATCCTACCCAAATGTAGCTCAGGATCTCTCTGATGGCATCTGCACCGTTCTCTGCATAGCAATCAAAAAAATGTGACATTTTGTGAAATGTATTGTCAAAGTATGTGGAGTAATATTACCTATTATAGCCGAAATACTAATTGTGCATTTTTTTTTCTCTCCACTAGGAGCACTGTTTGCCTGCATTGCATGCTTGGAGAGTTTGACTGGAATCCTGGGACTGGCAGTTTTTAATACTATTTACGCATCCACAGTTACGTGGTTTCCTGGATTTAGTTTTCTGCTATCAGCTGGCCTCTGCCTACTTCCTTTTGGTGTTGTATGGTAAGCGTTTTCCTATAAAAACCTGCCGTGTCTGTCTATGTCTCATTTCATTATACCATTTACTCAATGTAGCTCTTCGCCATATTCAGAACTGTGCAGGATTCACAGTGGAATCCAAAATATGTAAATTGAATTAAACAAACTAAACATTTGCAGGTTGTATGTGAGCTGGCTGAGTGTGGTTGTGTGTGGCATTGTCCAAGTGTGATTGCATGTTTGGTTTGGCTTTGTGTGATTGTTGTAGTTGGTCAACTGTGATAATTGTGGGAGTCAATTGTGTCTCTAGCGTGGTGGAGATCAAAGCCTGATCCCCTTCAGGGGAGCAAGGGCTATAGGTGGTTCTCCAGGGGAAGAAATAGGGCTATAAATGGTGCCGCAGGGGAGAATAAAGACTATAATGGTGCCCCTGCATGGGAGAACAAAGGGTCATTGGTAATACACATTTGGGAAAGTGATGGTCATGGGGAGAGAACGAGAGCTACATATGTAGGGCAACAGTGGAGAGAACTTTATATTTAAACCTCTCCTGCTTACCTTATTGCAGGGTGAGGTCCCTGTGGTGCTGACCACATTCTTGGTCCATCCTTCAAGAGGGTGGATCCCTGACTCTTCTGGCACAGTGCACACGGTAACCCAGTGGCGCTGAAGTTGTGAGGAGTGCTAAAAGTCCTGTGATAATCTATGTAGTATTGGCAATGTACTAAATAACAGTTTTGCTAACTGCAGGGCAGAGTCGCAATAGCAACCTATGTGATCCTGGTAGTTCTGCCAATGCGTAAGGATCAAAAGAAGCAAATTTCTGTTTCTAAATAATGTATTTTTATCTTATTTAGCTTATATGTTGTTATTTTGTTGTGCTTGTGACTCATATTTTCTTGCACTAAATAATGTACATGTTTATAATGTACATGTTTATGTTTTTGTTTTTTTTTATCTTTCATTAATATGCTATACGTTCCAATATATTATTACTTTATTTTCATTCCAGGTTCTTGCTCTGCATTGGTTACCAAGAACGAAATCACGTGCTTCTTGTTAATGAGGATGTATCTACCGAAGATGAATCTTGACTGATGAAGACCTGCCAGCCATGCACTTTACAGAAAATAATATCTCGTTTTGATTTCTGCAGGAATTATTAATAGACTAGCAATCTCTCAGTGTCTGAAATAACTACTGATAAATAGGCAAAAGGAAAGCCATCACCTATAATATTTCTTAAATAGTGCTTGTGATTTTTTGGGGGGTTACTTTATAATAATCAACATACATTTTATTTTTGCTTGCTTGTTGGGGCCAACTTAAAGGAACACTATAGGGTCAGGAACACAAACATGTAATCCTGACCCTATAGTGTTTAACCCACCATTTAGGTGGCTTGCCCGCCCTTAGTCCCCTTAAAAGCAATTAAAACTCACCTAGCTCCGCCCCCTTGGTGACTTCATCAGAACTGCAGATTTTTAACCAATCCAATGCTTTCCCACGGGGAAAGCATTGGATTGGCTGAAATCGGAAAGGGGGTGGAGCCAAACTCTATTTTGGCAAATCAGCACTTCCTCATAGAGATGCATTGAGTCAATGCATCTCTATGAGGAAAATTCTGCGTCCCCCTGCAGTGTGGAAACACTGAATGGTACTGCTGCCTACTATGCAGCACTGAGCCAGGAAGCACCTCTAGTGGCCATTTGAGGAGTGGCCACTTGGAGGTGTCCCTAGGGGCAATGTAAACTCTGCCTTTTCTCTGAAAAGACCGTGTTTGCGGGAAAATGCCTGAAGGCAATGATTACACTCACCAGAACAACTACATTAAGCTGTAGTTGTTCTGGTGACTACAGTGTCCCTTTAAGCGCTTTTAATTATTGCACAACTAATTGGGCAGTAGAAAACTGTTTGGAAGCTAGATGTAAGGCAACTACTTAATATTTAATTTTAAAATAAATCTGTATCTATACATGTGCAACCCAGGAGATTCATAAATGAAAACGTAACTTCCCTGCAACCTCAAACTCTTTGTATGATACATAAGGAACAAGGGAATTATAGTTACAATAAAAATCATTTTTATTTTATTTTTAATTAGTGTTATGCAGCAAAGGATTTTTCGTATTTATTGCTCAAAAAAAAAACATGCTCTGAAATATTTTCGAACAATATATGTAAAAATCAGTATCCAGTTTACTAAATTGTATTTTAAGGGATTTTATTTAAAGCATTATTTGTATAGGATGTTCGTTCATAATTAGTGATGTCCCGAACAGTTCGCCGAACGGTTCGCCACGGATGGCGAACATAAACATAAACTTTGACCCTGTACCTCACAGTCAGAAGACACATTCCAGCCAATCAGCAGCAGACCCTCCCTCCCAGACCCTCCCACCTCCTGGACAGCTCACTATGAATGCAGCTTCACAATGAATATAAAATGGATGCTGTCCAGGAGGTGGGAGGGTCTGGGAGGGAGGGTCTGCTGCTGATTGGCTGGAATGTGTCTGCTGACTGTGAGGTACAGGGTCAAAGTTTATGTTTATGTTCGCCGTCCACAGCGAAGCGTTCGGCGAACCGTACGGCGAACCGTTCGGGACATCACTATTCATAATGCTTTGAAAGTATAAAACAAATGTAAAATAACTGAATTTTGATATAGAAAGGAAACAAATTGTGCATATGAAAGTAAGGGTTTATTCATTATGTCAGAAAAGATGGTCAGGCAATATTGTTGTAACAATTTAATTTTTGACAATATATAAAACTGAAATTAAATATGAAGGATGGATTATCTATTAAAGGACCACTATAGTGCCAGGAAAACATACTCGTTTTCCTGGCACAATAGTGCCCTGAGGGTGCCCCCACCCTCGGGGACTCCCTCCCGCCGGGCTGGATGGCGAGGAAAGGGTTAAATCTTACCTTTTTTTTCAGCGCCAGGCGGGGAGCTCTCCTCCTCCTCTCCGCCTCTTCGGCTGAATGCGCATGCGCGGCAGGAGCTGCGCGCGCATTCAGCCAGTCTCATAGGAAAGCATTTATAATGCTTTCCTATGGACGCTTGCGTCTTCTCACTGTGATTTTCACAGTGAGAAGCACGCAAACACCTCAAGCAGCTGTCAATGAGACAGCCACTAGAGGCTTTAGAGGCTGGATTAACCCATTTATAAACTGCTATGTTTATTAAAAAAAAAGGTTAATCCTAGAGGGACCAGGCACCCAGACCACTTCATTAAGCTGAAGTGGTCTGGGTGCCTAGAGTGGTCCCTTAAGTTTACATAATAATTGCAAACTAGCTCATTTGCTTAACAAATTAAGCAGTAAATTATTTAACTAAATGCCAAATAAACATATATTTTGTATAAAAAAAAATATGTTTTAGATATCTTATTTGAGATAATTTATAAATTATAGAAACATAATTTACACTAGCCCGTGCCCCTATTGCTTTCTATCTAGGTATAGCGGTAGTGGAGAAGTGTTGACTTTATGGGTACTCCTTGGTTTAAAAAAAAATTATATATATATATATATATATATATCTATATCTATATATATATATATATATATAGATATAGATATTTTTTTTTTCTATGGAGTACAATAAAATGAATGACTAATCTGTCAGGAATTTGCAATGTGTGACTTATTGTAAAGCACTTAGATATCCCATAAGTGGTGAAACATGCTTTATTAGCATGAAATCTGTGTTATCCACAGGAATTCACTTATAATGTATGGACACAGGAAGGCCACTTAAAATGTATGGACATTCTATCATAAGGAAATACTGCCAATTTATTTACCTTTGATCTTTCACTTAAAGGACCACTATAGTGCCAGGAAAACATACTCATTTTCCTGGCACTTTAGTGCCCTGAGGGTGCCCCCACCCTCAGGGTCCCCCTCCCGCCGGGCTCTGGGGGGAGGAAGGGGTTAAACTTAACTCTTTCTCCAGCACCGGACGGGGAGCTCTCCTCCTCCTCTCCGCCGCCTCTCTTCCTCTTCGGCTGAATGCGCATGCGCGGCAAGAGCCGCGCGCGCATTCAGCCAGTCTCATAGGAAAGCATTTACAATGCTTTCCTATGGACGCTGGCGTCTTCTCACTGTGAAAATCACAGTGAGAAGCACGCAAGCGCCTCTAGCGGCTGTCAAGAGACCGCCACTAGAGGCTGGATTAACCCATAAACATAGCAGTTTCTCTGAAACTGCTATGTTTATAGAAAAAAAGGGTTAACCCTAGCTGGACCTGGCACCCAGACCACTTCATTAAAGGACCACTATAGTGCCAGGAAAACATACTCGCCGGGCTCTGGGGAGAGGAAGGGGTTAAAATCTTACCTTTCTCCAGCGCCGGGCGGGGAGCTCTCCTCCTTCATAGCGACGTCATCGGCTGAATGCGCATGCGCGGCAGGAGCCGCGTGCACATTCAGCCAGTTCATAGGAAAGCATTTACAATTAAAATTTTCACAGTGAGAAGCACGCAAGCGCCTCTAGCGGCTGTCAGTGAAACAGCCACTAGAGGCTCTAGAGGCTGGATTAATCCTATTATAAACATAGCAGTTTCTCTGAAACTGCTATGTTTATAAAAACAAAAAGGTGTAACCATAGCTGGACCAGGCACCCAGACCACTTCATTAAGCTCAAGTGGTCTGGATGCCTATAGTGGTCCTTTAAGCCGAAGTGGTCTGGGTGCCTATAGTGGTCCTTTAAATCTCATTGCCAATTAAATTGTTAATAGGTTTATATGTGAATCACGGTGTGGATCACAGGCAGATAAAATTATAGCCATCTGCACTAATGAAGATCTGCACTGGACATTAAATTATGTAGAGAAAGGAAGTCTCGAAATGTGTTTTTACTCTGTATAAATTGTAGTTAGTTATCTTTTGGCGACAAAAAGAGTATTTTTCAAATGTAAATGAAATGTAATTTTAAATATTGAAAACTATGGACATTTTTAACTGTAAATTATGGAAAAAAAGAGTAATATTAAACAATTTGTAATCACTGGTGTTGATATTTTCTTCAAAACAAAAGTGTAGAGACAGCATATATAAGGGAGCTATTTACTTTCAAAGGAACACCCCAAACACTTCTAAGTTCGATGTTTTATCTGGGAAGCAACAAGAAACACAACACATTGGTTCCACTTCTTTTGGCCACTTAGTTATCAAGTAGGTTCTCCATACAAAACAGGATATCATGATTCCGAAGCAGAAATGGTGTAGGTGTGGGTCCAAGTTTGTTACGGGAGACACTATCCCATAAATGTGACGTTTCAGCTCCTTTTATTAAGGTTCTTGGGAGCACAAACCTCACACTCATGAGATTGTGTCTTTCATAATAAACTTGAACTCACAAATGCACCATTTCAGTGTTGCCCATTTATTCTTATCTAGGGTCCACTCCACTCATTCACTCTGGAAGCTGCAGCTTATGAGCTTCTGTTAGCTCTCCTGAACTATGCCCTGCAGTGTAGGGCTGGCTCATTGGCTGAGAGCATCACCAAACAGTTTGACTATTTATATTCGCGGCTGCTAGGGCACTACTGGCACCATAACCACTACATTGCCCTGTTTTGCGTTAAACCGTAACATTTTCAAAATTGAATATGCAGGGATAGTACTTTCATAGAGGTTACCAACCCCAAAACAAATACACAGGGAATACATTTTGGATTATTACAATAATTAATAATTTAAAAAATCCCCTATGGGAGTCTATCACACTCTGCAGGACCCCCACAGTAGTCACTAAACCTGGCAACTTCATCAGTGATGATATGGGGATGTGTCCGTACATAGAAGTTTGACAATGTTATTTTAATTGGATGTAACAGCACATGTCACAATCTAGCTGGTAAGATTAAGGCTGCTAGATCTAGCCACTGTATCTTGTTAGTGCGAGGTGCAAGCAAAAATGTAAGTCTGCAAGCACCAAAATGCAAGAACTTTGTGTGCCACCTAAATATATATTAAAGCTTACAGTTTCCATGATGGGATGGTATCACAACCAAGGCACCCCCAGGTGTGCATGTGACTTAGTTCAGTATGTGCAAATCAGTATTTGTCTGCACTAAACCCGAAGTAATGATAAAATCCCTTTCTTAACATCACCTACAGGTACTCTAGTATAAAAGCTGCTGCCACCAGGACAATTTTTTAAATGGAGAGTTCCAGGTTACAGTGGCCAAATTAGACTAAAAACACAATGTTGTCATATTTATTCGAATATAATGCGCACCTTTAAAAAAAAATAAAAAAATTATAATAATTATTATTAAGAATAATGTATTAACCCCTTAAGGACTGCGGACGTACTAGGAACGTCAAGCTTGACAAAGACCGTGTAGGTCGAAACATTGTGATGGAGTGGGTTCAATAAAATTGCCTGGTTTGTACCTTGGAGTGCCTGGACCTTTCTTCTATTTTTGTTACTCAGCATTTGGTCTCTGGTACTGAGACTGTCCAAGTTGCACCCAGCTACATACTACTTAAAGGGACAGAGTGCAGTTCCACACCCTACCATAACTACTTATGTGTGTGTGCTAAGTGAAGACTTAAATAAAATCAATAAAAAAAAAACACGAATAAGATAAATGTATTAATCTCCCCCCCCCCCACAGCTATGTAGCTTCCAATATGGCGGTGCCTTTCTATAGGTAGTGCATCATGGGGCTTCTGGGGGTGTCCCTAGCCTGCCTCATCATAGGCAAGCTAGGGTCATCCAATCAGAGCTTGCCCCTATAATGATAATTATTAACTATGATCCCCAATTCACATAGTTGCCAACATTTGAAAAAATATTTCCAGGGACACTTTGCAGCGCAGCTATCAATTACTACCTTGAAAATTTGGACTATGTCTAACCCACATAATTAATCTCCGCCTACTTGTAGTGCAGATTTCAGGGTCTACTCAATACAGAGAGAATTACAGGGAATTGAGATGGTAATTTTAAACTTAAGGCCAATGTAGCCGAATTGGAAAAATTCTCCCATTCAGTGGGACAAACTGGCACTATATGCCTTACTATGAGGGAGACCACCAGGCTTATAAACATAGAAAGTGACGGCAGATAAGAACCATTTGTCCCATCTAGTCTGCCCAATTTTCTAAATACTTTCATTAGTCCCTGGCCTTATTTTATAGTTAGGATAGCCTTATGCCTATCCCACGCATGCTTAAATTCCTTTAATGTGTTAACCTCTACCACTTCAGCTGGAAGGCTATTCCATGCATCCATGCAAAACTGCCAGATTCTGCAAGAGCCTTTCGTTTTAGAAAAAGGAAAGGCAGAGAGGCAGGGACATTTGGTGCTGGAACACAGACTTAAAGTTAGTCAGTTCCAGACACCCCCTGGCACCATAACAATGTAATTTCAATGAAATTGTTATGGTGCTTGGGGAGCTCCTTTAAGGATTTACAGACACAATATGTAAGGAATAATTGACGACAGGCCGTTGAATTATTAGAAAAATAATGCACACCCGAGGTGGTAATGCGGTCACGAAGCGGAGTATCCGTTACACTTCGGGTGTGCATTATTTTTTCTAATAATTAAATGGCCTGGAGTCAATTATTCCGCTTATACTACAGTTACCATACCTCGAAACATTGTTCAGATGATGTATTTCAAGACGTTTGTCAAGTTTTGTCATAAAAATGCTCTTGTATGTAGGACTAATTTCTTACGCAACTGTAATGCGGTCAAGATCTGTCTGGAACTACTTTAGCCAATGCGTCTCCCTGAAAATAATGCACACCTTAGAACGTTCGTCAACCAATCAGATTGAAGCATTCAACGGCACTGTAGTATAATGTGAGTATAATTGCTGTGGAGTTCTATTATACACTCAGACACACCAACAATAAGGAGTTCCTAGAAAATGAGGGACATTATGGTAAATATTTTAGCATATTTTTATCAAAAGTATCAACAAAAGCTTGACACTGAAATAGGCAATAAAATACACTAAAATAAAAAAAGACCAACATTAAGATAGCAAAGAGGTGAATAAATAGTTAGGTGAGAGCACACAAAAGTATGTAAAATAACACACATGCAGGTTACCATATGTCAGGGTACATGCTAAAAGAACAAAAAACAACAGATCATAGTATAACCTGTATAAATAATTAAAACAAATAAAGAGACCCAATTAGTCCCACTCACGTGGTGCTAAGCCGTTTGAAGTAGGCTCAGACTATAAGCGACTATAAGCGCCTTGGGAGCAAGCACTTTGATAAAGACTATTGTTGAAATGCGTCAGTGCGGTTGTGCATTAGCGATCACTTGTTATAATATGTATTTTATATTTTGATCAATTTAATTAAAGTTTGTCCTGGCTATCTTTACTAATACCCTTCCAAGACTGGTGTTTATTGGAAACCGGAGGGAGAATTTCAGTATCCAGTGGAGCACTTTACTATCAATTTCCAACATCTGATCCCAGCAACCATTTGTGCATATCCCAAGGCACTTACTGTCTGAGCCTACTTCAAACGGCTCAGCGCCGCGTGAGTGGGACTAATTGGGTCTCTTTATTTGTTTTAATTATTTATACAGGTTATACTATGATCTGTTGTTTTTTGTTCTTTTAGCATGTACGCTGACATATGGTAACCTGCATGTGCGTTATTTTACATACTTTTGTGTGCTCTCACCTAACTATTTATTCCCTTCTAAGATTGTATTCTGTATGGTTTGAGTGACACACACATGGTGATTTTTATTCTTTTATTCTATTTGTTATATATAGGATAGCAAAGAGGCCCAAAATAGGGTCTGTTCCTCCCAGATAGCTGGAAGGTATGTTTGTTAGAGTCAGTGATCTTTGCTTCCTGTGACTACCCAGGACAGGATGAAGAGGGCAGTATACACCTTAACAAGGCTTCGAGGAAATGGCCGACAGATACAGTGTGCTCTAATGACGCAGCATTTTTCTCCAGCGTATAGAACTCGGAGTCCAGCGCTACCACTCTTTTGTCATTAGGCAGCGCACAGGCCCGCGCATGCGCAATTGTAGCCGGAAGTAGTTGCTGATCACTCCGGTCCAGAGAAAGCGCATTGTACCTGCCGACACCATGGTGAGTTCCCAGGCTCTCTGTCACAGTTTATTACACTGTATGTCTCAGGGAGCCCGGAGCAGGCTGAGCCGGCTGGCTGACTCTCTGTCTCCGGCATTCATCCAGCCATGTTACGGGCTGCTGTGTCACCGGCCTGCGCTGTGTGATAGGGCCTGCCATAGAGGCTGTGTGAAGGGTGTCTGCCATAGAGGCTGTGTGAAGGGTGTCTGCCATAGAGGCTGTGTGTGATAGAGGGGTCTGCCATAGAGGCGGTGTGAGGGGGCCTGCCATAGAGGCTGTGTGAAGGGGTCTGCCATGGAGGCTGTGTGAAGGGGTCTGCCATAGAGGCGGTGTGAGGGGGTCTGCCATAGAGGCTGTGTGAGGAGGTCAGCCATAGAGGCTGTGTGAAGGGGTCTGCCATGAAGGCGGTGTGAAGGGGTCTGCCATGGAGGCTGTGTGAAGGGGTCTGCCATGGAGGCTGTGTGAGGGGGTCTGCCATAGAGGCTGTGTGAGGGGGTCTGCCATAGAGGCTGTGTGAAGGGGTCTGCCATAGAGGCGGTGTGAGGGGGTCTGCCATGGAGGCGGTGTGAAGGGGTCTGCCATGGAGGCTGTGTGAGGAGGTCAGCCATAGAGGCGGTGTGAGGAGGTCTGCCATGGAGGCTGTGTGAAGGGGTCTGCCATGGAGGCGGTGTGAAGGGGTCTGCCATGGAGGCTGTGTGAAGGGGTCTGCCATGGAGGCTGTGTGAGGGGGTCTGCCATAGAGGCTGTGTGAGGGGGTCTGCCATAGAGGCTGTGTGAAGGGGTCTGCCATAGAGGCGGTGTGAGGGGGTCTGCCATGGAGGCGGTGTGAAGGGGTCTGCCATGGAGGCTGTGTGAGGAGGTCAGCCATAGAGGCGGTGTGAGGAGGCCTGCCATGGAGGCGGTGTGGGGAGGCCTGCCATGGAGGCGGTGTGGGGGGGTCTGCCATGGAGGCGGGGTGAGGGGGCCGCCATATTATTATTATTTCCCTTTTTTTTTTTTTTACTGACTGTGGGGATGGTCAGTGAGGGGGATGTCCTAGATTTTCTCAAATTGTAATTAAGTCTGGTGTGGGAAAGAAGGTACTTACTGTTCACTAAATCAGCAACTTAGACTGGCAGTGTTGGTGTTTCAATGAAGAAGAATAGTTTACAGTTACTGGGGCCTGTGCGTGCCAGTATTTGGGGATATCATTAGCTGAGAGCTTTGAGTATACCAGTAATGGTACACATAAGGTTAGTAGAAATAAAACACCAATAATTTTCTTATATACACTGTGCTTGCTTATTTGCTAGCCCATGAGTATATTATATTACCAAAGAACAAAACCTTAGAGAAATAAAGAGACTTATGCTGATGATTGACTGGCAGGAGAATACTTGTAAAGGCGGTTCTTATGATCGCTGTCACAGCAACTACAGCGTATGTTCTGATATTCCTGTACTGCACCCTGCGCTTTACTAGACAAATACAGAAGCATATTTACCTGAGCCTTGTCTGTTTTGAGGTAAATGCCCTAGTAATAAAGCCAGTGTGTCAATATCTTAAGGAATGCTTGTATTCTTTAGGGAAGTGCCCAAATTAGGCTAGTAGTGTAGTAGGTGGGCTGGTGGAATGTCAGCACCAGATAATTGTGTTACGGCAGCAGCGTTGCTTGTTAAAAATGTAACTTAAGCAAGAATCTGAAATGACAACTTCTATCACCTCAAAGTCGTATATTGTATGTTTAATTATTTAAAGTGTAAGCTTAAACACTACAGCCATTAAGGGGTTAATTGATAATTCTGTTGAGGTGACATCAGGGTTAGGAGTGGATATTACAGGTGCCTACATTTAGGCTTCTCACTCTTAGGCCCATTATTTGCATTTGCCTTTTGTATCTTAAAAGCTCTCTTACTGTTTCATCTTGCATGCTTTCAGTTTCATTTTAAATGCAGCCATATTAAGTGCTGAAAAACAGTAGTGCACATTTTGCAAAAGATATTTTAAAACCCTGTTTTGAACGTCCTATATAGCTGATTGACATATAAACTATATCACTTCTCTCAAATATGTTTTTGGTGTTTATTTTCTAATTTTACAGTCAGGTCTGCTAGGTTAGCACCAATATATATGCATATATTGTATGCTATTTAATATGTTCATGTTGGTCTTTCCGTTGTATTTGAAAAATCTTCTTCATAAAATACTATCTTAACATTCTTTGCATTAAGTGCTTAACTTTTAAGTCTTTAACAAAAATGCTAATGTGAAGAATTGTACATAAACCATGTTAAAAAGACCCCAATTCACGTGGTGAGTTCCTCTTAGTTGAACTTTCCAACTTGTAAACCGTTAATATTGTCTACATGACCTTTCTATGGGAGTGGGCTGCATACTTTGGAGGAAATCCTATCTCCTTTTTGTAATTGGTCACTTTTTAAACTAAAGATTTCTGAAAATTCAGATTTTTTTTTTTTTTGGCACCATGTTTAATAATGTATGAGATTTCCGAATGTCAGTTTCCTGTGCTCATTATATCGTTCTTGTTAATTGTTTGTTTCAGAATACCAAGAGCTCTCAGCTGAAGGACAGTATACCAATTGGTGAACTTTCCACTCAGTATGGAGGCTACGGAGTGCAGGATACCCTACGCACAGGGTATTTTTATTACTTATTTTACTGTTATGCTTTGACACCTATTTGTACTTCTTTTGGTTTCTACTTTCTTTTATCCACTATTGTACTACTGAATAGTCCTGTGCGTTAACTAAAAAATTCAGTGCTTTTTGGAATTAAATTTCCTTCAATCCAAGCTCATATGAGTCGAGGATTTATCTGTTGAGTTTTATTCCGTGAATTCATTTGGGCATGGATTGAAATGAATTTGATTTGGATGAAACTCCTGGATTTTTTTGCACAAGTCTAGTATGCATTATTTTTAATGGAAAGAAGATATTTGGCTGTATGCAAAAACATCACTATTCACTTCCCCTGAAAAAAGCAGATAACTAATTTTAAAGGTACACTATAGTCACCAGAACAACTACAGCTTATTGTAGTTGTTCTGGTGAGTATAGTCAGTCTCTGCAGCCTTGTTGCAGTAAACACTGCCTTTTCAGAGAAAAGGCAGTGTTTATATTACATCTTAGACACACCTCCAGTGGCCACTCCTCAGATGGCTACCAGAGGTGCTTCCTGGGGCAGTGCTTCACAGTGTGTACCCTCTGTATGGAGGCACTGAGCTTTCCTGATAGAGATGCATTGATTCAATGCATCTCTATGAGGAGATGCTGATTAGCCACGGTGGCGCTTGGCTTCGCTCCCCGTCCTGTCTCCATGGTGGAGATCATCATCAGAATTGACAATCTCCTATGGGAAAGCATTGTGATTGGCTGAGATCATCATTTATGATCTCACCCAAGGAGGCAGATCAGGGGCAGAGCCAGCACCAACAGACTGGAATAAAGTTTACATTTTACTATATTTAGGGTGGCTACGTAGTATTTTTAAAGGACCACTCTTGGCACCCAGACCACTTCAGCTTAATGAAGTGGTCTGGGTGCCAGGTCCAGCTAGGGTTAACCCATTTTTTCATAAACATAGCAGTTTCAGAGAAACTGCTATGTTAATGAATGGGTTAAGCCTTCCCCCATTCCCTCTAGCGGCTGTCTCATTGACAGCCACTAGAGGCGCTTGCGTGCTTCTCACTGTGATTTTCACAGTGAGAGCACGCCAGCGTCCATAGGAAAGCATTATGAATGCTTTCCTATGTGACCGGCTGAATGCGCCCGCAGCTCTTGCCGCGCGTGCGCATTCAGCCGACGGGGAGGAGAAGAGGAGGATCGGAGGAGGAGAGCTCTCCGCCCAGCACTAGAAAAAGGTAAGTTTTTACCCCTTTCCCCCTTCCAGAGCCGGGCGGGGGCACCCTCAGGGCACTATAGTGCCAGGAAAACGAGTATGTTTTCCTGGCACTATAGTGGTCCTTTAATACTATAGGATCAGAAATACATGTTTGTGTTCCTGACCCTATAGAGTTCCATTAACATGTAGGAATTTTGTAAATTATTTTTACAATTAATGTATTTTTTTTTTTTTTTTTCTGTCCAGAGAAACCGATTTCATGTACAAAATAGAAGGGAACAAATCATGCTGGCCAGTACATCTAGTAATAAATAATCACTGGGCCTGGGAGAGGATATTCACTCCTAATCTTTCTTATTCAATTAAGTTATAGTATTATTACTAAATTCATGCCACTTGGGAAAACACATCTACAATTCTAAACTTATGACATTATTAAATGAAAGTCTGTAAAATCTGCGCTCCTGGTGAATAGAATGGAATTTTTCTGTAGTATTGATTTATTCTCATCAACAGGTTTACAAGTGTGCAGAGTGAGCTTTTACCAAGTCATCCTTTGGAGTTGTCTGAAAGAAATGTAAGTTGTTGTGGTTTTGTTTTTGTTTTTTTCACTTTTGGTTATTCCTATATTGAGTACACCCAGAAATGTAAACGTTTCTTTTAAATAAGTCATATCTATTAGGGATCTACCGATTATCGGTTTTGCCGATATTATCCGCCAATATTCAGATTTTTGTAAGTATCGGTCGATAATCATCAGCAATACCGATAATGAATGAGTGGGCCGGTGCATCCATAAGGCGGCACAACTGAAAAGAAGTGCTCACAGAGAGAGCACTTCTTGTCAGTCCGGCCGGGTACAGGAGACTGAATCTCCTGTACCGCGGTGTGCACTGCTCCGCTTGGCCACGCTACCAGGAGACACACCGGGGAGTGGGGACCAAGAATTGGAGAGAGAGAGGGGCACTAAGGGGGGGGGGTGGTTGGTAAGGAACACTGGGACAGGGGAGGTGGGAAAGAACACTAGGGGGAGAGAGGAACGTTAAGAGCGGACACTAAGGTACAGGGAAGGGGAAAGGAACACTGGGGTAAGGGAGGACCACTAAAAGAGAAGGGAGAGGAACATTAAGGAGAATGGGGGCACTAGCGACAGGGAAGGGGTGGGGGAGTTCCTACTGCACATATACACACTGCATCCACCACCACACTGCATCTACTATACAAACACACACACAAATATTCTTGAAAACATAAAAAAATCACTTGCATGTGTATTTTGTGCATTTACCACTTAATAATAATTAAAAAAAAAAAGATTTGGGGGGGAAAAGGGGGAAAAAAAATACATTAAATGTACAGAATATCGGTAAGCTATCGGCCTGAAAGTTCATAGATTATCGGTATCTGCTCTAAAAAATCAATATTGGTCGATCCCTAATATCTACAGCATAGAAAATTATAAAAAGTTAACCACATTCAAACCACCTGTTTGAGCCTTAAGTCTAAGAAGACATGGCCTGGGAAACATATGTATAAGAGACAGAGAAAACCTATTTTTGCAATATTGTTCTCTGCTTCCGATGGTCTTTAATTAAAATCCCCAAACACACTGCAGTATAAGACTGTTTAAAGCATCCATGGCAACTCCAAAATGGAACTTGGCACCAAGAATTCTTTTCTCGCTGCACCTACGTGTGGACAACTTAGAGAAGAAAAACCTGAACTTCGTAGCCATTACAGATATGTGGTCCTGCTGTGTGTAAGGACTGATGCTACTATAAACAGCTTTCCCACACACTCATGTAAAGCACTAAGCTAGGAGTCGGAGCAATAGCTGTTTGCTTAACCCTTACCACTTTGCCATTCAATTGTTTTTGCTTGATATACTCATAGTAGTTGCTTTATGGATGTAGCATGTACAATTAATCACTGCAATGCAGGGAACTTTTAATGAGTGAACTGCAGCTCGAGTTTACCTTTAGACCTATGTGTGAAAATGGCTCCTATTAAAGGCTCATAGAGTTGTGATGAGGCTGCCGTCTCCATTGCCTAACATTGTTTAATCAGCAATGTGATCCTCCAACTTGACTCATAGACAGCATACAAACCTCAAAGGCTGCCAAGTAACATAGCCAGCACATTTTTGTTCTTAGTTTAAAACCTTGTTACATTGTATATGAATGAGTCTCTGAAGGTGTTCAAAATATGCAAATAATTTGGTAAGTGAAAGAAAGCACTGGAAAAGTATTCCCAGAAGTTTTTTTGGGTTTTTTTTTTTTAAATGTATTGACTATTTTTTTTATGCACAAATAATATTTTATGTCCATGCAACAATTTAGAACACCAGTCCATAGTGCAGTTTGTCAACACCTGGCTTAGAGTACTCATGTCTACCCTTTTTTATTTATGGATATTTTGTGTTAAATATTTGTAGCATTATAGCAACCATTGGTATATTCTAAAGATGGTGATGAGGAAAATGGTAGTGACTGATTTCTGTGCTCATCACACTTGGATATAGTCTGAAAAAAAATTAGCTTTCTTGATATTTAAGTTTACATTTAGAATACGAGTGATTATAAATGAAACACACACAAAAAAAACTGCAAGGAAAACTGAAAGAAATATCAAGTTTGTTCTTGTAACTGTTCCTTTTTCATTCACTCCACTTACAAATATTTTAATATTTGTATGAAATAGTCACTTGAGGGGAGTAAAGTGATGTATGGTTTAACTTATCTCCACTGCATATGTGACCTCCACAAACACTGCGCTAGTGGTTAGTAGGGTCCCCAGATTATGAAGCCACTGTTGGACATGACTATAAAGGAAATTTCAATTGCATATTATTTCTGAAAAATAATAACTAATAATAATATAGAAAAGTAACATTTAATGGAAATCTAAAAAGAAATTTATGGGGGGAAAAAAAAAAATTTATTTCAGAAAATTACTGATTGAAATTCATTGATGTTATCATGTGTAGGTTAAATTCTTATCCGTTTGGAGGAAAATTACCTATATACACTCATTATTCCTATAGATATTTTATGTTTTTGTTAAAGTAGAAGTCTGCTGTTGTGGTTATGGTGCCATGTGTACCTGGAGGGCCCATTTAAACAGCCTGTTTGAAAACAGTTTATTCATATTACTGTAGGAAGGCCTGTGGGAATCCAGGTATCTTAACCACTACATTGAGCTGTAGTGATAAAGGAGCTTGGACCCCCTTTTAAACTACTTATAAAGTAGTGGAAAGCTTAGTGAAAAACATGTAAGCTGCAGTGCATGGGACATAGTTTCCTTTATTTGTAAATCATGTAAGTTTACATTGTCTTATTGATTGGACTTACATATATTGCAGTACCAGATAAACCAAGAGAAAGTGGATTTTTCCACTCTAAGAAATATCCAGGGGCTACATGCACCACTGAAACTACAGATGGAGTTTAAAGCTGTCAGACAGGTAAGTTATGGCAATCATTATCCTTGGTGGGTGGGGAATCCTATATATGTGGATGAATAGTGCTAAGTAAAATTTTAGTAGTGTTTAAATACAGCTCGCCAACATAAACATATGTTTTCATATTCATAATGCTTGAAAAGAGATGCCTAAAGTACCGTATATACTAGAGTATAAGTCAAAAAAACTGGGAAAACTTATTGACTCGAGTAGAAGACTAGGGTGGGAAATGCAGCAACTACTGGTAAATTTCTAAATAAAATTAGATCCCCCAAAAATTATATTAATTGAATATTTATTTACAGTGTGTGTATATAATGCAGAGTGTGTAACCTTGGTGGGGCTGGGCATTTTTTTATTTTAATATTAAATTTTATTTTTAATATTATTAAAATTTTTATTTTATTTTTTTCGTCCCCCCCCCTTCCTGCTTGATACATGGCCAGGGAGGGGGGCTATGTTATTCCCTGGTGGTCCAGTGGCATGGGCTGTGCAGGAGGGGGTCTGGGAGCAAGCTTTTACTTACCTTTACAGCAGCTCCTGTCAGCTCCCTTCTCCTCTGTGCCGTTCCGCTCCACTGTAAGTCTCGTGGTCTGTGTGCCGCGCAGAGTGTTGCCATGGTAATCCGTGGCAATGCTCAGACGCTGCGGCTCTTGCAGGAGCTGCTGTAAAGGTAAGTAACAGCTTGCTCCCAGACCCCAACAGGACCACCGGGCTTGTAATGAGCCCAGCGGTCCTGGTCTGTATTATGGCAATGTAAGTTGCCATAATACAGACATTGACTCGAGTATAAGACAAGTGGGGCTTTTTCAGCACAAAACATGTGCCGAAAACTACTCGAGTATATACAGTTGACATACAAAATTAACTTTCCCTGTTCTCTCAATGGGAGCAGGACGGCTTACTCTCTGCTCTACCGGATAAGGCAAAAAAAGTTATAATTTGGGCAATGGGGTCTTCAAAAATATCACAGGCAACTGGACAAGTGAAATGCCCAGTGTTTTCTCTAAGGTTACTTATTATAACATTGTGGTCCTGTTTACTGCCCTACTGGCAGAATGCTGTCTTTCAGTGGTTTATGTTAAAGAAACACTATAGAGTCAGGAACACAAACATATATTTCTGACCCTATAGTGCTAAATCCACCATTTAGGTGGCTTGCCTCCCCCTTAACTCCCTTAAAAGGAATTAAGACTCACCTTATTTCCAACGCCGCGTGGGTACGCCTGCGCTGGCCCTGCCCCCTTGGGGACATTATCAGATTTGCCGTTTTTAAGCCAATCCAATGCTTTCCCCATGATTGGCTAAATTCGGCAACGGGGCAGGCCAAATGCCATTTTGGCCAATCAGCACCTCCTCATAGAGATGCATTAAAGCAATGCTTATCTATGAGGAAAATTCAGCGTTGGATTTTTTTTTTTTTTATATGCTAATGTAATTATTACAGCATGAAAATACCTTCTTAAAAAAAAAAAAAAAAAAAGTTTTTTTTTTTTTTTTACATTTCGTAGCTCAATTTGTATCCATATAAAAAATGTTATAGTCAAATTCATATGACCTGTGCATTTAAAATAAAGTAATTGTCAAGGTTATTTCTATAAGTTTATACTATGTAAGTTTATTACTATCTGTTCTGTATATGCAAGATGCCATGCATGTCATTTTGAGAGAGCGATGTGAGCTTCTCCTCTTCTTTTGTTCTTCAGGTTCAGCGTCTCCCATTCCTACAAAGTTCTAACATTGCTTTGGATTCGTTGAAAGGGAATGATGAGTGCATTGGCTTTGAAGATATTCTCAATGGTGAGTGTTAGGCCTCAATTTTTTATTTTTTTTTCAACTGTTTAGTCATTTTAGAATGGTCTAATCTGATAACTTCAACCTTTTAGTTGGCAAGCTCAAAACACTGTTAACTTAATACCCACTGCAACCTATTTTGCTACTGTCAATTCTGAACTGGCATACTTAAAATGGGCACCAAAACAACTTTAGCTTAATGAATCAGTTTTGGTGTATAGACATGCCCCTGCAGTCTCACTTCTCAAATCTGTGCCATTTAGGAGTTATATTACTTTGTTTTTGAAGCCCTAGTCACACCTCCCTGCGTGTGAGTGGCACAGCCTTCCTAAACACTTGTGTGGAGAGATCTTATGTTTAAACTTTCTTTATAAAACAGTTTTTTTTTTTATCTCCTGCACTGTTGACTTGCTCATGCATGGTCTTTAAAGCAATTGACATCTGATTGGAAATGACATGAGTCACAACCAGATGAGGTGTGACTATGGTTGCATAATCAGAAACAAAATTGATTTTAACTCCTAAATGGTAGATAATTGAGCAGTGAAACTGTGAGGGGCATTATCTACACATCAACTGAAATTCTGGTCTTTACTCCCTCAAGTGTTGCTACTCCTGTGTCTGTCTCCCTCCAAGTCAACGGTGCTACCATCAGCTCCACCACGCAGGCTCGCTGCCTAGGTGTTCTCTTTGACTCCGACCTCTCCCTCGTGCCTCATGTTCAGTCTATTGCCAAAAATAGGTTTAAAATAGCTGATGCAGAAATAAAAAAATTCTGCTCTTGGTTATAGTCGCAGCTTGCTTGGGTTTTTTTTTGCCTTGAAGGTGCAGTTCAGATTCAGTTTGCCATTCAGAATTTAATTTACTCTAAAGATCTTTCCTTCAAGATACTCCACATGTATATTGTGTGCTGTTATATTCTTGCCCATAAAAAGAGATTTTAAGCAGCCAGTGGTCTCATATTTACTCTAGGTAATGTGGCTATCATCTGATATAATCCTCCCTAAGATCTGCTACCTGCAATTCTGTACTTTTGTAAATTATTAATCTGTCCTAATCTGAATTTTCTCTCTTGTAGATCCAACACAAAGTGAAGTAATGGGAGACCCACACATGATGATGGAATATAAACTGGGTTTATTGTAACAAATGTATGCACAAAATAACCAATAAAACAGTGAATTCTTTTTGTAAATGGCTTAGAATCTATCTTTAAATCTGCAGGATGTATCCCCCGTGTATGCAATTATGAACAATTTATACACCGAATTCCACTATATCTATCCATTGTTTGTTAAACATAAAATATGCCAATTTACATAGTTTTCAGTGTTTTCTACTTTCTTCGAGTCCAGTTGTAAATTTGTGTTTTTGGAAGTTGATGGTCAATACCCCCCCCCCCTTTAATTCAGTCTCTTCATTTCACTAGACTTGTGTTTTCAAATGAAGAATTTTGGACCTTTTTGTTTATCTGAATCAAACATGAATTTCATGTGTCTGTATTACACATAAATGAATGGAAAAAAATGTAATTACAATAATTGAGCTCTACCAGTCTCCACCAGTAAGATAAAAAACACACTTCATGTGATAATGTTGGAGATGATGATGGAAAAGTTTAAATGTATTTAAAGTTGTATAATACAGTGTAAAGATGAAGTCACAAAGTCAACACCCGTCTCAAACTATAGAGGAGCAGTAAAGTTTTCGGCCAGCAAGAGGAATAGGCTGTCAGATCATAAGGGCTGTCTGTCTGGTTCACATTTCAAGTTAGTGGTGGGAAACTTTCAACATTGGATTTTCCATTGAGAGGAACCGGAGGAGACAATCCTAGGTACTTTGGTTTTAATGATAGTTCTTTCTGCGTGACTTCTGTGAATTTCAGTTTTGTGATAATATTCATATATAGAGCAAATGGGGTTACATTGGCTATTTGGCTAACAAAAGGACAATGAAATGTGAGTCAGCAATTAATATAAACACACCAAGCTCCTTTTTTGTTCCCCTCAGCTTTTTAGCGTTCTTTCCTTTTTTCACTTATAGTTATTTTAACTAATTGAATTGTTATATTTTACCTATTATTTGTAAAGACCACTTTGGGGTTACATATAATAGTACAAGAGCCATAAGGGGACTCACTTAGATACGCTTATTTCCCATTTCCCCTTTAGGCTATCTTGTACGGTTTTCTTTTCCTTAAAATTATGTCAGGTTGTTTTTATTTCCTTTATACATTCTTTTAATTTTCCCTTTTAATCTCCTTAGTCTTTTAATAAAATTCTTAGAAATTTCTGTCATCATATGTTAGAATGGCTTCTTCTCCCACCTCTTCACTCACCTCTCCTAGAAGTCATTTATAGAAGAAAGGGTTGAGTCCAGTATCTGGGGCAATAGAAGTGCAGTGACAGCCTGTAAGTAGTAACTTATGGCCCTGCAATGCCAGCCCTAGAACCTCCCATGAATCCTCTCCAAGGAAGAATAAACAAAAAATTAACAGGTGATGGGTTGTGGTTCTAAAGCCCCTGAGGGTAAGGAACTGTGCATCCAAGGTATGAAGGATGTCGCAGAAGCTCACCCCAATCTGATTTGAAAAAATGGAAATCTGAAGCCATTGCAAAAGGTTTTCAATCGGTGTCTGAGGGTGCCATGAAGAGACCCAGAGAAGATTCTTTCCAGAAGAGGAGGGATTCTATGAATCCTGGAATATATGTTTAGACTCCTGGAAGGTGGACAAATTATTTGCTTTTGTGAGAGATACATACCTGGCTATTAGATTTGGCTTACATCCTGCAGTAGCCCTTACATTGGTCACTATAAGTGAAGGCTTGGATAGATAACTTGGAAGATGACACGGACAGTGGGGTAAGCATTAATTGTCTTAAATACTTCAAACAAGCCAAAGAATTTATGTCCTAATCAGCTTTGGATATTACTAAGTATTACCTAAAAGTCTTGCATTAAATATCAGTAACCTGTAGAAGAGCCCCCTGGCTTCAATCCTGGGGAGCAGACTGTTCATCAAAAGCCAATCTTTGTGCCCTACCATTCCAGAGTTATCATCTCTTTAGAAAGATACTAGATGAAGCTGTACAGAAGGCAGCTGGTGAATGGCATTTCTTTCTTGGTCATCTAGAATAAGTCAACTTTGAAGAGCCATAGTTGGTAGAGATTTTAACTTCCTTCAAGAAGGATTAGACAAAAGCCTTAGTATCTTAAAAGTCCAGGTCTCTGCTATTTAGCTCTAACACCAGATGGGTATTAAACCCCTAATCATGAGATTTTTCAAAGTGGTCTTAAGGATAAGACCTCCCACTAAACTATCTTCTTAATGGGACCTTCTACTGGTCTTGGAAGCTTTAACGAGAGGTCCATTTGATCCACAGGAAGATATTGGACTATACATGGTGACACCAAAAACTCTTTTCTTGATTGCAATTACTTCAGCCAGGAGAGTTTCAGAGTTACAAGCCTTCTCCTCCACATATACAGTCTGTCATCAATAATGGGTGGTCTTAATTTCTAGGCCTGATTTCTTCCAAAAGTGGTAGCTACATTCCATATTCAACAGGAAAAAATGCTTCCATCTTTATTTCCTAATCCATCTGCTCTGGAAGAAGTAACTTCTTCCAGAACAAGTCGGATGAGATAATATGCCTCCAAATATATCTACAAAGGATCTCAATGATGATTGCCAAAGCCTCTCAGGGTCGCCCATCTCCTGTCAACATTAAGCTGCTTTCGACTACAAGTTTGGCAACATCATAGGCCTGTAGGGCGGAGGTGACAGTGGAAGAAATATGTAAGGTAGCTACCTGGTCCTCACCTCTGATGTTTGTGAGACTCTGCAAACTGGATTTGTCTTCTGATGATTCTCATTATGGTAATAGTGTTCTTACGTTAGTGGTGTGGTTTGTTGAGCATTTTATGAATACTACCCAAGCTCCAAATAAGGGCAGTGGGTCAAGATTTTGTTGACCTGCCCTTCTTTGGAGCTTGGGTAGTATTTACAAGTGATGCTGCCATATGTAGGAAGAAAACAAAAACATTTATTTCATGTTTATCATTATTTTCTTTCCCTGTCTATTCTACATGGCAGCATTATGCTCCCTCCCTTCTGGATTCAACAGCTATAGGTTTTAATAGACTGGGAATTCGGAGGAGGCTTTTATTAACTTTGGTTCATTTTTTACTTGTGAATTAACCATTCCTGTCCTGACAGCTGGGGGGAGCTAACACATAAGTAATGCTGCCATGTAGACTAGGCAGGAAAAGAAAATTGCATTCAGTATAGTTTTCTTTTTGTTTTTTACTGCTCCTACTTTCTATTCCCTTCTGTTGGTCATTTTTCACTTGATCTGTGAATAAAATCAACATTGAGTGGCTGTCCCATAAACATCAATCATCTTTTCTTGGCATCACAAAGAACTGAATTCCAAAGCAAAATGAACGTGCTTGTCCATTGTAGTTTGTTTAGTGAAAAATCTATAAGGTGGTTGGGAAATCTGGAATTTGGGCGATCCCCGTATTGGCCCAAATTTGGACGAATTACAGTTTGTAATAAAATAAATCTCCAAGTCTATTATGAAATATTCTACCTCCGTTCATAGAACGTCTAAATTTACCATATAATGATCTCCCGATACCAGCAGTAGCCAACTTTCAGCACTCCAGATACTGTAGACTACATCCCACCATAACGTTTTCACAGCCGTAATTCTGACAAAGCATTAGAGGAGATGTAGTCCACAACATCTCCTTCTTTTGTTCCCTCTTTTGGTCACTTCTCATTTAAGCTGTGAATAAAATCAACATTTAGAGACTGTCACCTAGCCATTAATCATCTTTTCCCCCCCATCAACCATCTCTTATTTTGGCACCACTGGCAGAATTCAGAATCACTTATTAAAATGAAGATGCCCGGCCATTGCACGTTAGTTGGTAAATGATTCGGTTACATGTTGGCTCGGAGTTTGGGAATTCAACCCATCACCCTTGGGTGATTGTAATTATGTGCAGGGAGGCAGGTGCAAGTGACCTCTTTGCAGCATATGCCATGCAAAGAGCATAGGTTGTTATGGTACTTGGAGCTGGGCAAATTATACAGAATGTGATATAATGCACAATATATGCACAGGGACATTTATTGGACTGCATTTAAGTGTGGGTATGTGCCTCTGTGTGCATGAGTACTATGTCTATATACAGAGGACTGATGCACATTTATGTTGATTCCAAACTTTCTAAGCATGAGTTTTCACTATTCTTATCAGGGTCAACAAAATTTAGAACAGACATATAATCCAAATCATATATTCAGAATAGATTTCATTGTTGTTGACATCTTGGTGAACTTATGATACCTTGTTTATGGAATTTGTTTCGTAGAAATAACCACATATTTAAATATGTACCGAAAGTGAAATAAGCTAGTGTGTAGGAGTTAATTGTGTTCCAAAACAAGATTCTCAAGGGTGTCTCTGAACATGTGTCTTTGCTAAAAATTGTACTATAAAAAAAAATCAGGAAACCCCTAAATGAGACCCACCCTTTCCTGACACTGGGGGAAAGTGTTGATGATATAATTGGTATGGTAGTATCATTAGACTGCTACATGTTTACTGTTATATTTTTTTAACTGTTTTGCTGCCAAATTTGCAGGTCCTTTTTCCCCTCTAAACAAAGAATTACTTGCATTATATATTGTTTGCTTTTAAATGGAGTTTCATTTTATCAAAATGTGTCAAGATGAATTATTGTTGCATATTCTTAAGAACTATTATTATTACCTTGTATACATTACCTTGTATATATGCATGTTTCACTTATTTTCTTTGATGAATTAAAGGGATACTATGGGCACCAATACAACTTTAATGCATTTGAAATATTGTTGTCTCATTAAAATAGTGTATGTTTACATGGTCAAATCTTGATGATTTAAAAAAATGTTTGGTTGAATGTCGCACCATACGCCTGCCTCCTTAGTCGTCCTTCTCATGCCAGAAAGACATATGTATGCACACAGTCTCCGCCCCCAACAGCACTGCGGTTGCCTTGTGGTTCAGAGCATTTACCACTGTCAGTGGCTGAACTGTGTACATACATTTGGTAAGGAAATCTTTTTCTGGAGTTAGGAGACCTGGATAAAGGGGAAGGCTTATGGTGCAACATTCTGCAAAACACACAGCATATTAATCAGGCAAAAATCAAATGCAGTTGCATTAACCCTTTAATGACACATGACGGAAATATTCCGTCATGATTCCCTTTAATTCCAAAAGTTGTGTCCTTAAGGGGTTAAAGTTGTATCGGTGCCCTGAGTGTCCCTTTAAAGAAACACTGTAGGTACTTTAACAACATAATCTTATTGAAGTTGTTATAGTGCTTGCAGTCCTGCCCCCTTCTCTAACTCCTAAAAATTCATTAATTAGAAAGCTTGGAAGCATGCCTCCAAGCCCTCTGGGTTTGAGAGCTATGAATCTTACCGGATCTCATACAGTAACATACCGTGATGTCACATGCACATGCGTATTGCACCTAAAGTCCCCAAAAAATGCGCCTCCAGGAGGAGGTCGCACCAGCACAGAGGGCGACTCGCCACTGTAGAAAAGGTGAGAAGTTGATTTCATTTCAACTTCTCTCTCTTTTTTAATACCTAACGCTACAATGTTTTTTTAAGTAAGGTGGGATGTAAACCTCTGACTGAGGCACAAAGCATTTAATTGCTGAGATTTTTGCTGGCGATAGGCATTGAATGTTGCTTATACACTGTTTAAAAAAAATAAAGGGAACACAAAAATAACACATCCTAAATCT